ATTAAAAACACCATTGGAGCCCATTTCAATCAAAAACAAAGTGAGGACCGCAAAAATGTCCTCACTTTGAAAAATGACCTCACTCTGTTGGTTAAAAACTCATGATGGTCCTCGGTATGTAGTAAGTACAAGAACACACACACACACACACACACACACACACACACACACACACACACACACACACACTGTTCCCAGTCCTATTGGTTCTAATGTTTGCAGCAGTCCCAGTATTCCTATTGGTCCTGGTAATCCAGGTGGTTCGGGTTTTTCCAGTTTGTCAGTTCCCAGAAATTCTTCATCCGTACATTATCAGATTTTAATTGAGATTGTCCTGACTCATCTCTTTAGTTATGCACACACATAGGCTTATACTCCTGGAGGACTGACCACATTTTCCTTATCTTATCTTTCATTTTTTATATTGCTGCCAAAATGTTTGTTTTTTCTGTTTATCCTAAAAATGCCAACAGATCAAATCACTCTGTGCCTCAATCTGATGTGCTCAGACTTGTCTTGTCATTGACGTGTCATTGTGCTGCTCAGGTTGAAGGATTACAATGAAAAAAAATTCTATCTAATCTGTGGGTTTCTGTTTAACAAGTAAATTAAACTCACCACAAGCAATTCGTTTGAATCTGGACCTGAAAAGATGGGCTTGCTGGATTTTTTGTAGCTTTTTAAGATGACTTCTCGTGTGAACTAGCACTTTATAAATAAATAATTTAATTGTTGACAATTAAATTAATTATTGCTGGCACATTTTATATGTTTCTAAACCACCACGTTTCAGTTCCTATAAACAGTTCTGGAATAGAAATGTTCCAAGAAAAACCAGCTCAAACTGCCTCTTATAGTTCTCCTCCCAGTTAAACCAACACTCCACCCAGTTCATGCATTTCAACTCAAGTCAATAGAAATAATTTTTGGAGAGAATAGAATAATTATAAAAAAGAAACATAATTTTATTGTTGATTAAATTTGATACTTTTCAGTTTAACATTCTTGTATTTTGCTTTGTAATATCCTGTAAACAAATTGTTTACTATTACCTATCAGGGAGCTTGACATGTTTGTGCATCTTTGTGAGGACATTTTCAGACTGTAAGTTCCCCAAAGACCCATCATTAAAATCTGCTGAGAGCACTTGCTGTGTGAGTGACACACACACACACGCACGCACGCACGCACGCACGCACGCACGCACACACACACACACACACACACACACACACACACACACACACACACACACACACACACACACACACACACACACACACACACACACACACACACCGAGGGTAAACTCGCTCCTCTTTTGCAACGTAAACTCTGTGAACTTTCCTGTTTCACTGAGGAAGGTTCTGGATTTTGTCCAGACTGCTGGTTTTGAACAGACATGGGATGATGTGTCATGTGAGAATGTGTATGAGAGTGTGTACCTTTAAGAGTGTGAATGTGAGAGGATCTGCATGTGTGTGTGCATGTGTGTGTTACCTGGTTACTGCACGCGTGCAGACTGTCACCATGAAACAGCATCCCACTACCACCCATCCCCATCCCCCATCTGGAGGAAGCACCTTGACTTTCTGTTGCTTCCAAGCAGCCACATCCTCGTTAAATTCTCCCATAGTAGTCTGTGGTCCAGGTTCTGAGGCAGCTCCTGGTGTGTAATGGATCCAAAACTAAAATGGTGGTACCAGTTCTGGTTTAATGGTAGCCCAGAAGAAAACACCTGGTTAAAGGTAACCTTGGTTAGGGCTCAGGTGTGCTGCTGAAGGATACCTGAGAGAGGTGGAGGAGAAGAGCACGTGAAGCACCTCAGCAGGTATCCAGGCAAACTCCTCCTCCTCTTCTGTTGAAGAGGTGTAACTGGCAAGCCTTAGAGTTAGTTACATATCCCCTTTTCCAGCAAAATGTCACCAGCCCAGACAAATCCTGTAGATGCGGTTGTGACTCTGAGGCTCTGATTAGGTTAAACGCTTCTTCGGTCAATGTGTCACCTGCTAATCCGCAATCATTGACCAGGGTGTGTGAGGTAACATCACAATGGTTCCTCAGCAGCAGGACCCTCAGGATCAGGTCTATCTGCAGACACAAGAGCCTCTGTAGGAAGTTCATCTGTGAGTGGTCCTCTGCTGTATCAGGTCCCACTTCAAGACTGCTGTTTACTGTCTGAGAGAAGTGGGTCTGATGGGACACAACAGCTGAACCAGGACCAAGACCCAGACTGACAGTCCAAAAGAATCCAACCGGGTGAATAAGACAGGGTTATTTTTAGTAGAAAGTGAGAGCCTGATCTGATTCTGATACGGTATGTCCTGAGATGAACCACAACAGACCACAACTATCCTTTAACATGCTCTGACAACACAAATATCGACTTTAAAATCCACTGAGGACAGAAATTAATTGTAATTTAGCTTAAAAATGACGTCACCTTGTCTTGGATCAGCAGCCCCTACAGGACACAGACAGAACAACACAAGCTCAGGCTCATTTCATTTTGGTTGATAAAATGAAAACCAAGCAGCAAAGACCTCAAATTTATTAAATCATTCAGCAGAACTTTGAGGATGAAGGTGGGTTTATGATGCTAATGCTCCTGAGTGTCTTAAATGATCTTTAATGCTTCTCTGAATAGTTCTGCTATAATTATTTGGACTTCATGAAGAATCCATGAAATAATAGGCAAATTGCTCACACCCTGTTCTTGGATGCATGTAAAACAGACTGAAAGCCTCTGAAGCGGCTGTCACATGCACTTCTGGTTTCTCTGCTGACTAACAGATCAGCTCTTAACCTTCCTCTGGGCTGCAGCAACATCTATAAATATAAAAATAACACTCCCGTGATGTTTACACCATCCCATCAGAGCCCCATCTAGTGTTCAGGTAAATTCAGCTGTCAGATGAGTTAGCAGGAATACGAGCAGATCAGCCTGTTGGTTATTTACAACAAAGGTGGGGACCAATAGCTTGCATCCATAGATCTCCATCTCCAGATCTATTATTGAAGTTGGTTTCACTCTGGCACCACCACATCCCACAAACACAACATCAGTACCCTCCTGATGAGAGATAACAACACCCGCATTAATTAGCGACTGCAGGGCTACTTCACTCTGTGAGCATGCCATCGAACCACTGTCCAGCATGGCATCAAGAGTCACTTTGCCATCGACTTTAACATGCATATAAAACAAGCTGTCACTCTTTTTGACCCTTTGTGTGTCCTGAACAATAACATTTTCTGATTCATTCAGTTTCTGTATATTTTGGTACAAGTCAGCAGCATCAAATGTGTGGGAGATTTTACCTTGACCCATGTGACCTCCCTCCAGACATAGGTCGCCTAGTTTCCCTGCATATTTTCTGTAGGGGAAGTATTGGTTGGGCAGGACCATCTCGTGTGGTCTGGGCTGAAACATGTGAAACAGAGTCGGTCTGAACGGCAGTGGGTTTCTGTTGTATGCTTGTCATCATTGCACACCCGACAGTTCATAACAGATCTGGCCCGGCCCTTTGTGCGCCCACGACGAGCATATGAGGGCTGACCACTAGGCTGAACTTTGGTGAGAAGCTCCCTGAGCATAGACACTATGTCACCAAGCATGGCACCCTCTTGTGGCTGACTGAGTGGGGCAGAAGCTGGAGACTGGAACTGGCATTGCACTTCTGTGCATTTACTCTGCTGCTTCATAGGCTGTAGGGAAGGAATACATGTCTGTGCAGCTGGAGTATCTGAATCACCTTGGAACTGCTGGTTCTGCACCATCGCAGGTGCATAGGATAAAGGAGCTTCAGTGGTTGGCTGCACAACATGATGGAGCAGAACACCATCAGGCATATGTACATTACTGGAGACTCTGGGCTCAACGTGTGTCTCAAAACATAGTAATTGGGCTGCAGATGGTTTGTGCATTGGTGTTTTAATACTGGACAATCGTTCTCTTTGGTGTTCATCTAGCCTCTCCTGAATGTCTTTGGGGGTCCACTCATGAATCTGTTTGTACTTAAACACTGAAGCTAGTTCTGTATCAGGGCAGTGCTTTACAAACATTTTAACAATTTCACTACCAATATCCTCAATGCGCTTCCCTTGACGCTTCAGACCTTCCTCAGCCATGTCTGCAGCCTTATTAAGGCGAATCCAGTAATCAACAGCATCCTCTTTCTGGAGTGGCAGTGTGGAGTAGAAATCTTGTAGAGGCAGACAGGAGGATGTGTTACTGAAGTACTGTATCAGCATGTTATAAATTACATCTGGGGAGGATGTAGCATTTAAGGCAGGATTACTTCTAAGGCCAATCTTAACTACATCTCTGGCTCTACCCATCAACTTCCCCATAATTTCCTCTTTTTGCATAGAAACATCATAGTTCTGCCGTCTAAGGTAACCTCTCATCATTTCAACCCACTCAGTACCAGTGTACTTGTCAGAATTGTCACCTTTGAAAACTGCAGGTGAGGTTTCTGATTTTACAATGACATTAAACCTTTGACCATCTGAGACAGAAGCGTCCTCAACATTGGCACTGTCCTGTTTCTGACAGGTACCACAGGCTTCTTTTCCCCCAGCAACACCAGAAGATAACAGTTTATTTGCAATTGATTCCCCAATCTGTGAACCTAACTGATAAATCATGTCACTTATTTGGTGTAAGTCATTACCAACAACAGGTGTTGAGTGACTCTGGCCCCCAAATAACATCTGACCAGTAGGCGTCTCATCTGGATCCCGAGCTAATCCCTGGGGTTTACTACTACTCGCAGGTAGTATAGGTGATGCACCCAAATCAAACCCAACAGCACAACCGGGCTGAAAAGTAAGTCCCATTACACCTCTACCTCTCCCAAAAGAGGGGTGACTGTTCACAGTTTTACCACTTGGTTCAAATGTCTTTGCCATGTTAAGATAAAGCAGAAATAAAACACACTCAATTAAAATCCAGTGGTAATTAGAAATAGAACTACTGTTTCCCTTAGTTCATAAACCTTGTGACCCAATTGTGGAGGTCTTGAAGTGAAGAGGTAACTTGCAGGTAGACGACACAGTAACCTCCGGTGAACCGCATCAAGCTGCTCAGCAATCCGGGTCACGGCACCAGTGTGACGGCTTCCTTTTGTCCGTCCAGGGTTATTGGAGTTGCCTCAAATCACCGCACACATACAATCAGGCCACAGACACAGGACTGTCCTTCAGAGCTCTTTACTGGCAGGATCTGACGTAAAAACAAGCACACAATAATACATCAGTGTGTGTGCGCTGCAACTGCATACAACGGTCTCCACCAGCTTTCATTACTGCTTTTCTTTTTTCCATCATGTGATCAAGAGTCAAGAGTCAAGAGTCATTTATTGTCATATTCTCCACATGTGCAGGACATACAGAGAAATGAAATTCAGTTTCAGCACACACAATTCAAAGATCAGACATACGTGGGTAAGACACATAACAAGAATTGGTGACTGCGGTCATTCGCAACATGAGTCGCGCTACCTTAATAGTTAGATGAAAAGGGTGTTACATGAGGAAAGTTCAGGGAGGGGAAAAAAAGGCATTAACAGGGTTACACCAGCAGGGTGTAGCACTCCAATGCAAAAAAACACCCGACATGGAAGCACAGACAGCACGTGTACAACATCAGAGTCCAATGGGGAGGTGGGGGTGGGCGGGATCCTGAAGCCTCCAATGGGAGCTGCCACTGCGGCGCATCGACCAGCTGCAGAACAACAGGTGGGAGGGAGAGATAAGGAACAGAGAGCACATTGAGGTCCCTGCAGATATAGCCTGAAGGGAGAGGGTGAAGGTCGGGACACAGCATCTGTCGGCATTCCTCCTTTTGTGGGGGTGTGTTGAGGCAGCCTTGAGAGGCTGCTATGGCGTCAGATAAGGATAAACATAACTTTGTTTAGGGTAGACAGAGATAATCTTCCCCTCCGTCTTGTAGTCTCTAATTCTCTAAGTGGTCATTCATGTCCACCAGTGAAGCCAATTTTACATTCCACATCCCCGCATCGTCCGGCGACCCTCTCCGAGATCAAATCCATCTTGCGCACTAACACAGGCAACGCCGCAAGGACATTGTCCAGCTTACGGTTCACCTCGAGTAACGTCCCAGTCTGTGAGGTCACCGCACGAGCGGCACATTCCGTGGGTAAGGGTCGCACTCCAATCGCTCCCGTCTTCCCAAATTTCCAGAAAACCAGATATCCTCCCACTCCAATCAGAAGAAATCCAGTGATCATCAGGCCGAATATCCACAAATCTTCCACGTCCTCGATGGACAGCTGAGAGAGGCACACGATTCGCCAGACCTCCCAAGAATCGAGTGCATATCCCGATGCGAATGTCCCCTCGGGACAGGTGGGAGCCCCCTTCTCCGTTCTCATCGTAGAGAAAATTTTGTCAATCACGTTGAATGACCAATTAATTAAGTCCATATTTCCAAAAAGAGAGTAGTGGTTTCAGGAGAAATCGTATAGTGACATTTAATAACAACAGCAATATATTAATTTAACAACTTGCATTTCAGAGCAATACATACTTTCTTTTTGATAAAACATATAAAATAGTTAATAGTACCAACAATGACAGCGCAGCCGCCGACAGTTGAAACAGTTAACTGCCATCAGTAGGTATAACAGTCAACTGCCACCGGCAGTTGAAACAATAAAACATTTACAAATCATATTTTTACCAAACACATCTGAACGTACCTGACGTAAAAACAAGCACACAATAATACATCAGTGTGTGTGCGCTGCAACTGCATACAACGGTCTGTTCAAGGCAAAAAGAAAAACCCAAACATTACTAAAAGGACTGAAAAGCTAGCTTCCATTAGCGTGAATCTCGGCTTTAAAGTTATTAATTTAATGCAAACACAGCTAACCTTTTTCAAAATATGCTCTAACAACACTTAAATATCTGTAACAAGTCCTATTGATATATTAATTAAAGGTTAAAATGACTTTAAGTGCAGAGCGGCTTCACAGTACACCTACCTCCACCAGCTTTCATTACTGCTTTGGTGGGAGGGGCCGTGAATGCGCCTGAAGGACCCGTTGCATGCAGTTGCGCCTAACCACCAGTAGGCGGCTTCAAAAACACAAACAATCACTGCACATCACTTTTGGTGAAATTCACATTTTCATCTCTGTTACACCTATCTCTGATGTTAACTCATTACTGTAAACTCTTTATTCATACAACACATTTAATACCCAGAGCATTTAGCTAACACTTCGAAAGATGAGAAAGTTTGTGTAAATTGTAATGGTCAGAATCTGATGGAACTAATTCTTGGTTGACAGGGGTCAGCTGGGGCCCAGCAATAATAGTTTGGACCCTTATTTATTTATTTATTTATTTATTTATTAAAGGTTGGAATTATCATGAGAGGAGCAATGTTGACCCCTAATGGCAGAAAATATTCTTTATATATAATAATGAGCTCTTGTGAATATAATAACTAATATCTATTTAATGTAAAGCTGTTGTTTTTAATACTGTTTTAATATTTTAAACTTTTTTCTTGCATGTTATTTTTATGAAAAAAAAAGACTATTGAAAAGTTCTTAGACCACAGGAAGAGTAGCATCTGTTATTGTAGTTGTTAACGGGATCATAATAAACTAAACTAGTCATCTGCTACCCTAACCATAGATTGGTTCTTTTATTTAGGCTCTGGTTCTGTTGCCATCTCAGATCAAACAGATGCTATCAGCACTCTTACCTGCAACGCTGTGGCAGATTTCCCCACCCTGCTTCCTGTTTGTACTTTTGCAGGCCTTCTGTTTCAGACGCATTAAAAGTCTAGGCAACTTTATTTATACAGTACATTTAATACACAGACACGATTCAAAGTGCCCAATAAAACATTGACAACGTTTTATGTTTTGAAGAACGTTGGAAAGGTTGAAGATAGTCATAACTTCATCCCTATGGAACTTGGCTCCAGGAATGGAACAGACTGCTCTCTCCACCACACCTCTATGTAGACAGTTCTCTGCTGTCATCTAGTGTTCAGAAGACAACACAGCATTAAACAGATTCTTATAAATCAAAAGGATGGTGGACCGTAGAAATCATGTACTGATGTAAATATGTCTATGATCAATGTCTATGTAGTGGACCATGAATAGGGAGCCTGAGTCACCCCCATCTACTTCTGGACCATGGGTCCCCAGAAATAAGAAAAAAATAAATGCAAGTCAAAAGGGATTTAAAGGTTTTTTCTAATCCAATTTTATATGCACCATGGATTTCAAATATGATGCCTGTGAAATTTAAAGACACATTATGGTGACAAGTGCTTATTTTTTAACGGCAGCTAAAGTTATTTTAGGTTTTGTGTGAAAAGACGTGTATGTAGATGGGGGTGACTTAGTTTCTGTAATGTACTCAAACTGGCGGACCCGTAAAAACACCCAACACAGAATGACACGTTTAAGAATGTTTATTAAAGAGGGAAAAGGGGCGATGACGGGAGAGGCAGAGGCTAGGTCAGAAGACAGGCGGCCGTTACCAGGAGATCTGAGAGGCTGAATATCCGACAGGGGAATCCGGAGACGTGGTCGAGGACTGAGCAGGGTCGTGGCCAGGAGGTCAGAGAGGCAGTAACTCCAATAGGGGAAATCCAAAGACATGGTCGGGAGCAAGGCGGTAATCCAAGGAGGGCACGAGGAGCAGGCAGGTCAGAGGACGAGGCAAGGTTCGGATCCGTGGAGTCAAGGTGAGTGAAAGGCTGGAGAATTTACTTGCAAAGCATTCAATAATCTGGCACTGGTTGGAGAGCAGGCTGGGAGTTATAGCTCAGCAGCAGTAGCTCAGGTGGTAGAGCAGGTTGCCTCATGATCGGAGAGTCATGGGTTCGATTCCAGCTCCCGCCAGAGGTATCCTGCTGTCGTGTCCTTGGGCAAGACACTTCACCCAACTTGCCTGTGTTAGTGGTGGTCAGAGGGGCTGACGACCAAATGGCAGCCTCGCCTCTGTCAGACCTCCCCAGGGCGGCTGTGGCTACAAGTAGCTTACCATCACTAGCAGTGTGTGAGTGTGTGAAAGCGTCTTTGGGTATCTTGAAAAGCGCTATATAAGTTCAATGCTTTATTATTATTATTATTATTATTATTATTATTATTATATAACAGGAGGAGCAGGTGTGTGTGATAAGCTGATGAGGTGTAGGTTAGGTTGCTGTGGAAACAGGGCTTGGCTGGAGCGGTGGCATGAGGGAGCCAGGTGTGATGCATGAAGGAGATGAGGTGCTGACTGGGGTTGCTATGGACACGGGGCCTGGCAGGAGCAGGAACATGACAGTTTCAGCTTGTGTTCAGACTGATGGATCTTCTACAAGTTATAGATCTGTTATGGGTCCTATTCAGATGTTTCAGGGGATGGATAACTCAGTTTACTTCAACAGGAGGGATTGGGCTTTGGTTTTACTCTTGGAGAGCTCGGTGAAACCCTCAGCAGTAGCCAAAACTCAAAAAGTTCAATTAAATTGATGTAATTTCTGGTATGGGAACCATTCCATGTCTAAGTATTTGTGTTTCCACCTGGGTTGAGTAAGAAATATGAGCTGTTGGTCAACACGGAGGAAACAAGGTGTCTGCTCGTCTTATTCTCCATTGACTCAGAGTCTTTATAAAACACACTGCACAAGGCTGGATTGTTTGATGGAGGAGCTGGTGGGCACCAGGTTCAGATTAAAAAAATATGACATCAGATCACAAACAAGCAGGTCTGGACCAAAAACTTTCTCAGTCATGGATTATATTATATTGTTTACCTTTCAATTAGTCAAATACAAATATTACAAAGCATCCAGGGTGGCTGTCTCCACTTGACATGGAAGAACAGCAGCTCTACTCTGAGTCCCTCCTGAATGTGGTCCAAACTCTGTACGCTTTTCAAATAGACCAAAAATCAAGTCCAATCAGAGCATTTACACCAGATGCAGAGTGGATTTGTATGTGGAGACCCGGAACATTTCCACATGGAGTCTATTTTTTTCTGTAACCCGCTTACGGACTCTCATGAAGTTAAAGGAACCCCATTACATGAACCTAACAGGAAGACAGACGTGGTTCAGCGAGGTGCCTCCAGGTTTTTTCAAAATAAAATCTGTGTAGCATTATTTCTGCTGGCTTTTGTTTTAATATTTACAATTGAATGACTACGATCAGTTCACAGTGAGTTCTCTATTTTTACAGGAGTATTTTTTACGCATTATGTCAAATTTCTAATCATTGAGCTTTTGTTGGAGCAGACGTTCAGCACACGAACCACAGTCAGTGTGAATGGCATTCCGGCCAGCAGCCACACGGAAACCAGACCGTAATCTGTTTAGCACTCAGTGTGAACAAAGGGCTCCTCGCCACATCTCTAATGGTGGCACCCACATGTCCAGATTAAAAATGCGTATAAAATGGTTAGAAATGTTCAGCAAAAAAATTGTAGAGTGCCAACAGAACTACTGACAAAATTTTGGCAAAAAAAAAAGTAGTTTCATATAAATTATCAGTGTTAATTTCCTGCACTTGTAAAGGGTTTTCTGGAGACCCCGAATTCAGCCACACATAGGAGTTAAATATATAAAAAGATACTTTATTAAAGGAGTAAGGGTTTGGGCATGAGCTGGGTATCTGCAGCCAAGTACTGTTGGAGGGGTCAGTGTAGAGGGAAAATGTGGCAGAGGCAAAGACAGGTGGAAATGTTGGTTTGGATTGGAGCGTTCCTAGGATGTTCCTTAGACGAAATTGGGCTCACTTCTGGCTGGCTGCTGTTCTTCCAGTTCATCCTTCTGTGACTGCGTTGATGTTGACGGCGTTGGCGCTACAGCGTCTTCCACCGCATTTCCTGCCGCATCTTCCACCGCGTCTTTGGGTCGTGTGTCTCCTCCGGGTCTGGCTCGGGCCCGGCTCTGGCTCTGCTGACTCGAGCAGGTTCACAGCTGTTGGACGGCTGCCCGAATAGCCCGACAGAAACTTCTGTAAAGCCTCCCCGTCTCTTCTTTTGTTCCTCTTCATTTTTTTTTCTTTTTACGTTTGCTGCACCCGAAAGCATCGTGAAAGTTAGCCTACTCAAAAACACCTGCTAGCTTTGTTGTGTCCCGCTCTGACCGTTTCTCTGACATCCTTAACTGGGTTGCGCCCAAGTTGTAGGCTACAGTCATGGGCTGGCGTTAATGTGACATAGCTAATGTAACAGTCTATGGTTAAGATAAATATTGCCACTATTTTTAATTAATTAAAAAATATTGAAATAAACTGTAAATAGGAGTCCTATCTACAAATTCTATCATAGGACATTTGTACATTTTATTTTTTATTTATTTATTTTTAATTTTGTCCCTCTGTCTGGGCCCCATCCAGCCAATCAGGCCCTAGGCACGTGCCTACTTTGCCTTAATCCGGCCCTGGCCATGTTTCTGTCACAGCACGGTCCAGGATCTCCTTCAGGAAACAGAACAGTGCGCTCACGGAAGACCCGTTCCCTCCAGAGTGCACGCTCTGCCAAATCATCCAATAACACAAAATCAGCCATGCTACAATGTCAGATTCCTGTCGATCACATGTATTTTATAGGTTTTAACAGGTTATTTTATAAAGCTGGTTTTCACACATGTCTGTGTAAAAATATTTTTTGTAGATGAGGAACACGTGTGGAGGACTGAGACTTTCAGTATTGCAGTTGCCCTGTTCTAGATACTGTTCGTACGAATGGTCGGACATTTTCTTATGTTAAGGAACATTTCCACACACAATTACAAAATGGTTAATATCACACAGTGTGTAAAATTGTTCCTACACATGAAATATGCACGGATCTGTACATAAGTACGGTTGATAAGTGAGGACCCTAGGTAGGCGAAATCTGGAGTCGATACTACCTAGATTGGAGGAGCGGGGCCTGATGATGCAATCATGCCCCATCTAGCCATTTGCAATAGCTTAAAGGAAGAAGCAGCTGAGACAAGAACATGCATGATTGAAGCCAAATACCACTTTGGAGTGTTTTCCATGAGGGAATGCCATCATAACATGGTCAAAAGCTGCAAAAGGTGGATTTTGCATGATACAGTACCTTTAGAGTAGGAGAAAATGTTATGAGAAGTGTCTGAGTTTAAGCACTAAAGCAAACCTACTGAAGATGACCTTCCTAATGTGGAAATCTGCGACCTGTTTGGAGCTTAGGTGACCTTTGGTGTGTGTGTCTGTGTGAAACAGGTAGATAAAAGCTGCTGTAAAACATGCCTCACGTCGTCACACACACACACACACACAAACACACTTTCTCTGCTCAGACCTGAATCTGCTCCAAACAGGTGAGTACAATTTTTGTGTCCATCTGAAAATGCAAACTTTTCATGTTTAAATCTGTAGGTAAAGTTTATGTTTCTCAGTCCCAAGTCTGATTCTGGGTCCGACTGAGTATAAGGTTGCATAAAACAGCCAGCTCTGTGGGTGAAGTCTGAAGAGTTACTGCAGGCTAGAAGCTCTGAAGAAATGATCAGAACTTTAAGAGAATAATAATTTACAGGTGGGAGGATGTAACAGACACATTGTAATAAATAACAGCAGCAACAACAGCTGGGAGTTTTCAAATACCAGATTGGAAAGAGGAAACAAAACTTGTTTCCTTCAGTTTATTTTATCTTCAGTAGGTTTATCCCAGTTTGTCCTTCACCTTTGCTCCAGGTTTGTCCTGGATCCAAACCAGTTCAAGATAGCAGCAACAGCTGACTGAAATGAGCAAACACAAACAATAATGATCGTAACTCAGTCAGTTTTACAGATATCAGGTTGTTTCATGCTTTATTTTGCCTGCCAGTCTGCCTCCTGTTCCTGCTCACCTGCATTTGGATCCTATTGCAACAAGTCTACCTCATGTCAAAGCTAATAATTTGTTTCCTCAAATGTTTTTAAAAGTATTTGACTGATTTAACCACATTTGTATCCTTTATCACCTTCTGAATACATGCATATATATATACATTCATATGTATGTATGTATGTGCATATGTATATATATATGTATGTATATATGTATATATATATATATATATATATATATATATATATATATATGTATATATATGTATGTATGTATATATATATATATATATATATATATATATATATATATATATACATACATACATACATATATATACATATATACATACATGTATATATATGTATATATGTATGTATGTATATATATATATATATATATATATATACATACATACATATATATATACATATATACATACATGTATATATATGTATATATGTATGTATGTATATATATATATATATATATATACATACATACATACATATATATATATACATATATACATACATGTATATATATGTATATATGTATGTATGTATATATATATATATATATATACATACATACATACATATATATACATATATACATACATGTATATATATGTATATATGTATGTATGTATATATATATATATATATATATATATATATACATACATACATACATACATATATACATATATACATACATGTATATATATGTATATATGTATGTATGTATATATATTATTTATACATACCTACATACATATATATATGTATAGGACAAAATGTGCCTCTTCTTAAATGTGACTGAACTGAAGCTGTGAGGATGAGGATGATGATGATGATTGTGGATTGTGGACTCTCTGTTCTGCAGACAGCATGGCGAGCAGAAAGTGTTGTGGTGTTCCTACTTTTCTAGCAACGCTCTCCATCCTACTCTTCATCATGTTAGTTGTCTGCGTGACGGTGATCGTACTGATAGTGAACAGTAAAACACAAGCAGGTGAGGAAATACTCAAAATGAATAATCCACCAAGTAGAATAAATACTGCTTCTGAAGAGGGAAGATGTTTGATTTTACAGATTTTACTGAAAAATAACAGAAACAGAGATGCTACTCTAACCAATCTTGTACCAGATTCTGACAAAAATTCAAACCCCCAGAATTTAAATGACAAACTGAAATTACTAACATAATAGTTTGTGGGAAATGGCCATTAAAAAAGGTTTTGATAATTTGGCTTTTAATGATGAAATCCAACAATTGTAAATAATACATAAGGGTGTTCTACTTCGCTGATGGGAAATGTCACACTGCAGTTTAATCCCCGAGCTACAATTAAATATTATTAACCACTGAACCCCACTGGTGGATTTTCTGTGATAATTTTAAAGTGACAATGTGTAGTTTTTATCGTCAATCTCTGGAAATATCCATCAAACTATTGTTGAAAATGAATCAAATGAATGAAAAGCTGGTCTAAATTACATGGGAGTCTTGCTTACGAGGACACTGTCCTTCCTTGGTCAAAGAAAACGGTTACAACTTACATCACGTGACCGTGGCTTCCACGGTGGTCATGCAACATCACGTGACATGTGAAATAACTTTATTTTTATATGTATAATGTTCTATATAAATATACAATGAGCCTTTTACTTTTTAAATTGTGTATATATTTGTTAAATTAAATATACAAGCGAGGTACTACCTGCTAGCCATCGAAGCTGCAACTACTAAGCAACTAACCAACCATTTTAAATCAACTGACTTACATTTAAACTTGAAATTTGCTCCGGATGTAGCTGCCGGCTTCTGATCCGCCATCCTTTTGTAAATACCGCGCTGTGTTCTGTGAAGTTTTCAACCAAGGTCAGGCTACAAGACACCTCCTGTGTATCCTTGCTCAGCTAGCTAAACGGCTAACAAATGGAGAACACACGTCTCGGTAGACCATGAACACTGAAACACTCCTTGAAGGTTCTTGATCACGTATCTCCTAGGCAACCGGGGTGGGGCCAAGACATCAAGGCGAGGTTCTTTGGCATTGAGAAACACCCCCGATGTGTCTGGGTGACACCATATTAGATGCCTGGTTTCCTTCTAAGGGAGCCCTTGAGGACAAAACACATTTACTGATTTTTAACAAATGGTTACAAAACTTTCACCATTAATAAATGTTGTTGTTTTACACATTTACCTCTTCACTCATTGCCAGTTATGAAAGGGAGTCTGATGTGCTTGTCATTTAGCTGAAGTTTGCACTCCCTGGGCCTTTTTGACCCTAATTGGTATCTGTTGGTAAGGTCTTACTCCAACACAAAAATACAGCTTGCTTGAAACAATTTAGGTATCTACTGTCCCAATAGCCAAGAAAAATGCACACTGTCACTTTAAGCATCATTGATTCTGATGTTTGAATGTCTGAGAATCTATCCAAAACAAACTAGAATCCTTTAAAAGTGTTTCATCAAGATGTTTGACATGTCTCAAAAAAAGCAGCAGTCCGGTCCACTAAACCCAGAATCCTGTCATTGTTTTCCTTTCAGATCTACAGCCTCAGAACCCATCGTACCTGATTGGAGTGGGTCGAGCAGACTGCACCGGCCCGCCAGCTGAGATCCCTCTGGTCTGAATCAAAACACTTAATGGCTGGTTCAGGTTGAGCTTTGTCATGCTGGGGTGTTGTTGCCGTGGGGTTTTACTTGCTTGATGCTTGATGCTTGATTTTTGGCTGGTTGGGATTTATTATGATTACATTTTGGCGAGTTGGATTTTTTTCTGCTTAGGCTTAACTTGATTTGATATGGACAAAAGTTGGTGGTTATTTCAGTGTTTCAGAACAATGAAAAAAAAACTCTGGATTCTGTAACATCTGAATTGCCTGATGTTGGTGATCTGGACCAAGAAAATGAAACTAACAGGTGCACTCAGGTGGTTCATATTAGGTTTTAGAGCTGACTGTAAAACTGATCTCAGATCAGGTTTGAAGTCAGGTGAAGGGCAGTAACAGTTATCCCAAGGGGTATTTTAACTGCATTGTCCTTCATTTAACTGTAGATCAGAGCTGTTCAATGCTGGGCCTCAAGTGCCAGTATCCAGCACGTTTTAGTGGTTTCTCTGCTCCATCACACTTGATTATTGCCTGTGCAGCAGCACATCAGGCTCTGCCGAAGCCTGTTAATCACCTGCTGATTGAAATCAGGTGTGTTGAAGCAGTGTTAAAACTACAATGTGCTGGATACCAGCCATTGAGGCCCAAAACTGAATAGCCCTGCCCCAGATCCAGTTCTGTTTTAATCACCAGATGCAAGTTTGTTAAAACTCCAGTTCCAGTCATTGTCTATTTTCCTTCCAAGCTTCTAGGCTGTTTTTTTAAAGTGGTCTGGATGAACACTTTGTCTAGGAACCATCAAGCTGGTTTAAAAGAATGTGGGTTGTTCAAAGATCCAGTATTAAACATGTACTTTGTTTGGTTGTTAAATGCGTGTTGACCAAACTCTGGTTCATCTTTGTTTTTGTTTTTTTTTAATTCTAACAGGTCAGAAATAAAACTGAGTTGGGCCTAATTGTCATGCTGATATTAATAGATAGTTGTAATCTGACGTAAAGACTTTTAACACCTGAAGTTTATTTGTCCAATTACAAATTAAAATCACTTTCAAATTGCTCTGTGAGAAATATCCAATCCACTGATGTTATAGGGTAAGTAGTTTATCTTCCTTGTGATGGTTTGTTATCTGTGTTTTATCAGTGGATTGTGAGTCTTATGTCACAATATTTGACTGGAAATGCTTCTAAGGTTCCTTTTAAATGCCACCTCAAGTACAGCAAGACTGTTACTCTGCAGAAAACCAGTCAGCCAGGTCAGCAGCTTCTCTCTGGGTGTGTTTGGTCTGATAGTGTTTATGGTTTCTCTGATTATGTTTCACAGAACAAACTGTTGCTTTGTGAGTCAAACAGCCAACTGAGAACTCACTGAATGTTTTAATGGATGAACTGGATCTGTTTTAAAGATGCCCGTTTTTGTTTGTGGGTGGTCTCAATTGTGTTTATCGTTGGAAATTTTGCATATAATTCATCTGAAAGGCTGAAAATGGTACAAATTATAAAACGTCTTTTTCTCAACTTTTAAAGAATATATTTAATCAGAATTTATGTTTGCACCATTGTCAATCTGAGGTATAAACACATGTTTAGATTTAACAGAATTTTCTAAAAGGATTTTAATTTTTGATCCTTTTTTTTAGCTAACAGAAAAGATTCCTGAAATTTTCAGAAATCTGAATGAAAACTTGTACAGAACCCTTCTGTCTGTGGTCCAGAATTCACTCCTGCTGCTCACAGGACACATACATCATTTTCATCTATTCAAATTTGATAAGCTGTGCTAATTAATGTAGATGCATTGCTGTATCTGCAGATGGGTTATGCAAACCCTCAGCAAAAGGCTGCAGGCATTCACACACGCCTCTACAGCCGAGCCTTCATCATTGATGACGGGAATCGAACAGTCGTGTTTGTTACTGCAGACATAGGAATGGTATCTCAAAGACTACGACTGGAGGTGAACACACACACACACACACACACACACACACACACACACACACACACACACACACACACACACACACACACACACACACACACATTATGTGTACTTTTACTAATTGTGTTTTTAAATACTGTTAATACAAATATTCTTGTACATCTTGTGTGCAACAAGACTATTACTAGTCTTATTAACCATTAAGTAACTTTAGTTTAATGTGTTATCCAGACTGGTTTCAGAGTTCAAACTGGTTTATGCTCAGACCTGGGTCAGTGTTCAAATCATTTTAAGGAGCTATGTGTGTGTTCAGGTTCTGCGGGCGCTGAAGGAGAAGTACGGGAACTTGTACCGTCAGGATAATGTGGTCCTGAGTGGAACACACACCCACTGTGGACTGGCTGGATATTTCCAGTACACACTGTTTATGATCACCAGTAATGGTTACATCAAATCATCGATACAACCATTGGTCAACGGTATAGTAAAGGTCTGTCTCTGTGTGGGCCAAAATGTTCTGGTCCTCACTCTGGTACTGGTTTTTGTCATGCAACGATGTTACTTACCCATTTGATCAGCACCTTGTCTCAGGATGCAGCAGTCTGATCAGAGAACCTCAGGCATGAAGATGTTTCAATTCAAATTCAATTCAATTCAAAGATACTTTATTAATCCCAGAGGGAAATTAGAGTTTCAGTACACACAATTCTGACATCAAACATACATACATATAGACACATGACAAGAATTGGTGACTGTGGTCATTCGCAACCCGAGTTGCGCTATCTTAAAAGAGATCAGAGGGTTTATACATGAGGACTGAGTCAGGTAGAGGAAAAAAAAAAAGGGCACTTCAGAGTTAGCCTCCACAGGAAGGGCAGCTTTGCTATGCAATAAACACCTCAGACAGAAATGCAACAGACTTCAGACATTACACAACATAAGTGTCCACTAGGTGGGGAGGTAGGGTTGGGGACTCTCCACACATCAGTGCATGCAGCCGCGATAAGCAGCGCTCATCACCTCCGTTTGGACAGGGGAGGGAGGTAGTTGGGTTTGGAAAGCACAGTGACTCCTGGAAACGATTCAACGGCCTTCACCGGTCATAGTCCCGCCCAGGCTGGGATAGGGAGATAGAGTTGCCATGGCGACGGCTGCATTCCACATTTCTTCTGAGGGGGAGTAGTAATCACTTCAGCCTCACAGGCTCAAGGGCACCAGATTCAGATAATAACTTGTTTTGGGGCCAGACAGAGATAATTTCCTCTCTGTCTTAAAGTGCCGTTGGTCTCCAACCCCTCTCGATCCAATAATGGCATAGATTAATCTATCCCAATCCGTGCTGATCCGTCCACTTTCTCCTTGATCGAATCCACCTTCTGTGCCAGAGTCTGAATCTCAGCCAAAGTTCCAAGCTTACGACTCATCTCGACAATTATTTGAGTTTGAGCGTTCACAAGCGGGGTAATCCACCCCTGAGCTCCGGGATTGAGCCAATATTCCTCGACAGCTCATTAATTTTCCGGTAAGCCTTGTAACCACTCAGGCCAAAAAGCAAGAAACCTGACACCAACACCACGAATATCCAGACGTCTTCAGAATCCTCTACAGACAGTTGAGAGAGGCAGATCAGGTTCCGCTGTTTCCAGGAGTCCATGATATGCCCAGCTGGCTCTGTCCCAGAGGGGCATCCAGGAGCCCCTTCTCCCATTCTCATCGTTGAAAATTTTTTGTCAATCGCGTTGAGAGACCAACTGACCAGATCCATTTTTAATCATTTCCAGTTTCCAGAAAAAATGCAGAAGCGCCGTACATCCCAAGACAGACAAAGAGTCTTGGGATAAGGAGGGAGGAGAGTAGTAAAAAAGCGTTTGTACTCTCCAAGAGCCGGAAGAAGAAAAAGGTGTTTTGTTGCCCATGTGTCTGTTAGTAAAATATATGTTTGGTGACATAAAACCACAGCATTAAAGACAAAAACAGTAACCCTCCCCTTATTTATCGCACTTATAAGCACTGGATCTATGATGGTTTGTGGATTTTCTTGTAGTGGGAGCTGTTACAGAGGACCTGAACATTTCCTGACACTGATTTAATGTTTCTGTCCTAATGAACCTGATGCCAGATGCTTGAAACTGTTTCCCTAATTGATCCAAGATTGTTTTTATTGTCATTGCACAGGTGTACAACAGAACTGACTTTGTGCTCACTACAGCTCGCATACAAAATAGCATTTTAGACGTGATGATTTATTAGATAAGGATGAATTTGATGTTCTCTTAAAGTGTGTGATTGTATGCTTAAGATCATGATTAATAATTGATACAACATACTGGGTGATTCATTTAAATCTTGTTTCCAGAGCATAGACATAGCCCACAGTAACAAGAGACCTGGAAGGATATACAGAAACAAAGGTGAGCTGGATGACAGCAGTATAAACAGAAGTCCTCACTCCTACCTGAACAACCCAGAGGATGAGAGAAACAGGTACATAAAAACACCTGCAAACAATCATTTCACAAATGTGAATATAGATATTCTTGTAAACACATGTGGAATTTGCAACGTAATTATTTTTAAGGGATATAGGTAAATTTCAGAATCCCTAACTCTGCAGATACTAATTTCTGTCGCTGTGGTAACACTTGCTGGGAAATAGATCTGACTCTGTTTCCATGGCAACACAAAGAGTGATCAAACTTAACTGTTTCCATATTAGCAGATGTTGTAAAGAAAAAAGAGAAAATATGCTATGAAGCCATCACCCTGTGTCTCAGTGGTAACATCTGCTGTAAACCCACCTGTCTCCGTCTCCATGGAAACACATGCCTTATACCCACTAGTCTCTAAATCCAAGGTATCCTGTAAATCAGCAGAGATCAGAGATGAATCTCTAAAATGTTTTGATTTCTCAGACAGCTTCTAAGTGTGCAATGCTGTCAGATGATGTCTGACTGCTCAGTTTCAGACCCACTCTGAGAAAAGACTGGAAACACTTGTGGTGATTTCAGGGTTCCCTGTAGAACAGCCTGTACACTCATTCCGATGAACTTCTCTGAGACACTCCCTTTGAACTTTAGACTGTGAAGACTTACAGAGAAAGTGAACCGAACTGGGACAACATTAAAAACATATTTCTAATGGACATTTTACAGGCTTGATGAGATATTTAAACTGATGCTTTACATTTAGCCCACTGACTGATTATTTATTATTTTGATTTTTGTCCGGAGTGATTTGGTTTTAAACAACATTTGTCACTAATGACATTTTTAAACTGAAACTATCTCACATGTTTAAACAAACTGATGCCAAGATAACCTGTTTCATCAAACCACTGAGTAATGGCCACTGTTAAGATTAGTTAAACCACATCGCCTGAAGCAAGTGGATAAAAACACCTGCTGATTAACACGAATCTCTAGTCCAGTGAAGTTTTGTTATTGACGGAGGAACACGTCCTGGCTGAAGAGTTAATCTGCTCTGGGTTTTGATCACAAAGTCCTGCTTTGTTCACTTGTAAAACAGCATAGCTGATTGGTTCTGGTATTGATCTCTTCAGGTATAAATGGAACACGGACAAACAGGTGTTGGTTCTAAAGTTCACTGATCTGGATGGAGATGGTATCGGTATGATCAGGTAAATCGAAACATCTTTAATAGGTCAGTCACTTTCTGATGATTTTTTGATACTGACACATGCTATTCAATTAATAAAGTCAGAATTTGTACTGTAATCAGCAGATTACAAATTAACCACTGTAATTTGTACTGTGAGGAGGTAGCTCAGATGTGCCCATTTCAGCACAGATGAATCAGCCAGAGGAGAAAGTAGATTCAGGCTTTGGAGTCTTATTTCCTGATATTTGGACATTTCACCTCTGATTGGCTAACTGCAACACGACTCTACCACTGTCCCTGTTTGCTTTGAAATGTTGATGTTTTATCACCACAAATGACACAAGCCTGAAGGAGTTCTGGTGTGTGGTGGAGTTGCTAATGCAAATAGTTAGCTTCTAGCTGAGACAGCAGTAGGTCAGCAGGTTGAGCGGGTTGTCCAGTAATCGGAAGGTTGCAGGTTCGATCCTGACTCCGGACAGAGAGTTCTGCTGTTATGTCCTTGGGCAAGACACTTAACCCACCTTGACTGCTGGTGGTGGTCGGAGGGACTGATGGCACCTGTGCTAATCAGCCTTCTGTTACTTTTACATTAAATAAAAATCATGAGGAAAGCAAATATTTCTCACCGTTCACTCAGAATTCACTTCCTGTGTTCTCAGGCATTATCAACAAACTTTGACTTTAGGGTAAAACACTTCATGATTAATTTTATCATTATATTTTGTCACAGCTGGTTTGCTGTTCACGCTGTTAGCATGAACTACACAAACCGCATGGTGAGCAGTGATAACATGGGTTATGCTTCCTACCTGCTGGAGAAGGACAAGAACCATGGGGCGCTACCTGGACAGGTACGAGCGTGCAGCTTCATATCCAAACTGTCCATTTGTGGGTTTTTGACTGACATAACAGTGATCACTGAAATCTGATCAAATCAGATTAAACAAGGGTTGAGCACAATGACATTCAAGTACATCTTGCATGGACTGTGCATTTTTTATTCTTAGTTTTTTTACATCAGGATGTCAATTCTTCCTTTGTTTGCAATTATCAGGGAAGCTTTGTTGCTGGTTTCTCCTCCAGTAACCTTGGTGATGTCACTCCAAATACCAGAGGACCTCACTGTGTGAACAGTGGGCTACCCTGCGACTATCTAAACAGTTCCTGTCCTGTTGGAGGGGTAACATATACACACATGTTTGTCTTGCTGTACTAGTGAGGACCATGGTACTGTAAATACCTTGTATGGGGAGTCTCCTCCCTTTCCAGTCAGCTCATGGGTCGCGGGAAGAACGAAAAAAAATTAATGCAAGTCAATGTGGATAAAAGAACTATTTTCTAATCCGCTTAGCCTTACGCCCTGAATCACACATAGGGGTGACGGTGGCACAGGAGTTAAGTGCTCGCCCCGTAATCTGAGGGTTGTTTGAGCCCCGCTCAGTCTGTCACTGTCATGTGTCCTTGGTACACACACACACACACACACACACACACACACACACACACACACACACACACACACACACACACACACACACACACACACACACACACACACACACACACACACACACACACACACACACACACACACACACACACACACACACACACACACACACACACTGTATGGACTAAATAAGCCCAATGTGTGTTTCAGACTAAGGAGTGTAAGGCTTTTGGACCAGGAGAGGACATGTTTGACAGCACAAAGATCATCGGACATAGCATCTACATGAAGGCCAAGGTACTTGTCTGTCAGTAGCTGTTTTTGTAATTAATTAAATAAATATTAGATGATTAAACATAAATAAATGGTGGCAGGAAAAATAAACTTTCTGATTTAACAAACGGGGATCCTTGGTGTTCAACCTACTTTTTGGAAACACATTAAAACTATGTTCTCGTATCATTGGAAAATGAGGTTTTTAATCCCAATGGGACCTTCCTGGTTAAATAAAGAATTTAATTTACTCAGAATTATTTGTTTTTCAGATTAGTAACATTCAGTTGAATTGTCTTTCAGATAAGCATCCTTGTGTTTATGTTGCTGCCCCCTGCAGGAGCTCTATGCAAATGCGGTTGAGGAAGTAACAGGTCCCATTCATGCTGCTCATCAGTGGGTCAACATGACAGATGTGACTGTTCAGATCAATGAGACACATACAGTTAAGGCACACACACAAACACAATGCTTTTTCCCATTGAGGAAGGTGAAATAACAATGGCTTTGATAAATGAATTGATTTCATGTATTCAGGTTAACAGGAGGCTCAGGAGAGCAAGTGATCTGTTGCACAGTTTAAAAATGATATATTTACATAAATATTTTTATTTTAAAGTTTTGTATCTTGCTTAAATGTGATTGTTATTCACACCTCATGGCGTGTTTTCACATGTTATCTGTTGTAAGCTTACAGATGAATTTTAGACAGCATGCAGTTATTTTTAAATATTCACCTTCAAGCATGCGCTGACGATACTTATTATAAGCACTGTAATCGTATACAGCTTTATAACTAAGTTATGGTTTAACTGTGTCTTCATTAGCTTCTTTTTTCACACAGCCTGAATTTCAGTATTTATATATTTCTTTGAGGTGATACTTTTTTATTTATTATTTTTGTTTATTAGGTCAGCACGTGTAAACCCGCTCTGGGTCACAGTTTTGCAGCAGGAACAACAGATGGAGGAGGAGACCTGAACTTCACTCAGGGTGATTCTACTGTCCTCTTACTGTTTGACGTCTGTCTTCTGTGTTGGTCTTTTCCTCAATAACCCTGCACCTGTCAATTCTTGCAAAGGTGCTGTGGAAGGGGACCCATTCTGGGATGGGATCAGAGATGCTCTGTTGGGACCGCCATCCAATCAGACAAAGGAATGCCATCATCCCAAACCGATTCTATTTAGCACAGGAGAGGTAAGACAAGCCACTTATCAGATGCTCCAGACCTTTTAACATTTAAAATCACATTTCACATTCTACATCCAATTATTTTGAGATTAAAAAGAGTAAAATAAGAACCTCCATCCATTTTCTGAACCCGCTTGTCCACGTAGGGTCGCGCCACCAGGGCTTCACCAAAGTGCTTCACAGCAGCTCTTCAAACACCAAGTTTAGAGGAACTTAATCATTTGTAGACTTTACATTTGTATTAATTTTACATTAACATCTTGTTTAGCTGTAAACCTGATACTGATACAGTATTTGTGTTGCAGATGAACTGGCCCCTACCTTGGCATCCTCAGATTGTTGACGTTCAGATTGTCACTATTGGATCTGTGGCCGTCATAGCTGTTCCCGGAGAAATGACGTAATGATGTTAAACTGACAGTGAAGTCATGAAAAAGGCTCCAGACTTTAGGGTATCTGCTGGTAACACTCCTAGCTCTTATCTGTGAATGCTTGTTTTTCAACAGCACCATGTCAGGGAGAAGGTTACGAAAAGCTGTCAAAGAGGTTAGCAAACAACCAACATGAACACAAACTTCATGCCTGCTGTGTAAAAATACATAGTAGTATTTCTGTTTTATTATTATTGTGCAACAGGAGTTGGAGTCTGAAAACACCTTCAAGGACACAGAGGTGGTCATCGCTGGACTCAGTAATATCTACACTCACTACATAACCACCTATGAAGAGTACCAGGTATGAAACTGCTACATTTTATTGTGAAATAAAACATTAGCTAAACTTAGGGAATGTTTAGGTTGTTGACTGTTGTTGAAAGAAAAAAACAAACAAGTGTTTGTTTGGATTTTCAGGTGCAGCGGTATGAAGGGGCTTCCACCATCTATGGTCCACATACACTAACTGCCTATCTGCACAAGTACCGTAGCTTAGCCCGAGCCATCGCTCAGGTGCGACTGGGCAAATTGCACATTTCCTTCCAAAACAAACCCAACAAATACGATCCCCATAATGCATACATTAAACATTTGAGTCTGTTCTACTTCTGCAATATAACTGATTTGAAGCTAAAACCATCAACAGTGATGCTACGCATTTTGGTGATTTTGTTTTTTTCAGGACAGAGTGTCAGAGCTGCCTGCTGGCCCTGAACCTCCTTTCTTTACAAAGAATCTTTTCAATCTAATGGCTGCAGCAGCTGTGGATAAAAAACCAGACAACAGCAGCTTTGGAGACGTCCTGGAGCAGGTCTACCCTGTCTACAGACAGGTAAGACGTCTCCGTTCACAAGGTGCTACTCAGTTCATCAGTTAGGTGGACGCTGTTGTGCCCATCACTGTTTTATTAATAGGTATGTTTAAAGACATTTTATTGAGTCTTATATACTTATATTCCAGTTTGTGATGACTTTTGTTTGATGTGTGTTCTAAAGGCATACATGACCAGCAGAGATAATTATCTGTTTTCAGTTTAAGTGACTCCTGTTATGTTAAACTAAAAGATTTACCAAAACTTTTCATTTCACCCATCAGTAATGAAAAAAATATGGAACAAGTACCCAGCGTTCATCCATATGCTGATGAAAGACTGTTTTACTTAAACAAACATTATTAAACTGCTGTATTTTTTTCAGGGGGATGTGGTTTCTGTTACATTTGTGGCAGGAAATCCTCGCCACTCAGGAGACATTGTAAGAATCTTTCTCATTTATATTCAGTTAAAATTTGAGCATTTTTTTGCTTTAGACTTTGCTCATTGTTGTTTTTGGAGTTAAATAACTTTGTGCATTTCACCTGACACATGTCCTTAATTGTTACAGAGAGATACAACTTTTGTCACTGTGGAGGTTTATGATAACAGAACAGAAACCTGGGAGGTTGTGTACACTGATGCATCTTGGGAGACCAGGTGAGTAACTGTAAAGGCAGAGACTCTGTGGTGGTCTGCAGCTTTTTATGACTCCAACTCTTCATGTGTTATTTTACAGTATGATCGTGATGCAATCATACATCTGCCAAAGAAAACTAATAGTTTACTTTTTAGTTTGTATGACAATCAAGACATAAAGGCCCTGGTCTTAAAAGTTACAGTTAATCATTCATTGTCACCGAGGCCAAAATGTATTTTTCTGCAGGTTTCATTGGCTGAAAGGTTCAAATCAACAGAGTAATGCTACCATTGAATGGCACATCCCCCCAACCGCTGCCCACGGCACCTACAGGATCCAACACTTTGGACATTACAAGCAGATGAAAGGTCTACGACCCATCATCACCAAATACCAAGGCTCATCTGATGTCTTCCGAGTCACTGACAGCTTCTACTATTGATGACATCGCCAAACCATCCAGGACTATGGGTTCTCTTCACAGAGGAACTGATCACCACCATGAACATTTACCTGAATTGGTTTTCATAGAAACTGTTAAAACCTCAGATCTGTAAAAGAAACTATTCAAAATATGTTAAAGTTTAAATAGTAAATTTGAAATAAGTATGCAATTCAATTCAAGTTTATTTATATTGCACCAAATCAAGACAAGAGTCGTCTCAAGGCACTTCATGCAGTAAACATTCCAATGCAGGTCAGTTCATTAAGCCAATCAGCAAAACGTTTCCTACATAAGGAACCCAGCAGATTGCATCGAGTCACTGACTACTGTCAGAATCTTTACAGCAATCATCATACTAAGCAAGCATGCAGTAACAGTGGAGAGGAAAACTCCCTTTTAACAAGAAGTAACCTCCAGAGGATCCTGGCTCAGTATAAGCAGCCATCCTCCAGAGAAGAGAGAGCAGACACACACGAGCTTTGCATCTTCGTGAGATGTCAAATGTCTCTTTGTGATTATGTGTCTCATGAGGATTTTGTGCATCTTGTGTTTCCAAGTCACTTTTGAATCATTGTGGTGGTGGCGGCCATGTCTCTGGTTGTCTTGTGCCTTGTTGTAGAAGTCAGGTCCATGTTGTGTTTCGTGTCTCTTTGGTGCACATTGTCACACAACAATAAAATTAAAACACCAAAACTTATTTTTGTAGCAAAAATATTTATTTAAAACTCGTCTGTGTATAAATTTGTCAGCCAGATTGGGATTGCACATTACAGGGACAATATCGTTACAGCAGCATGTAGAAGGTCACCACATAAACACTGACTCAGTAGTTTAGGAACCAGTAGAGGATGATGTTTCAGTGAAGCTTCAGTCACATTTAATATTTACGTCAGAAATACAGAAGAAAAAGTCCCTTTATACATAACTGACAGGTTTTCTAACCGTTGACTTGATACTGTTACTTTTTAAAAACTCAACACATGCTTTACTTAGCGAGGAAGTGGATTATAACATACCGTAAATCCTCTAATACAGGCCTGGGCCTGTATTAGAGGATTTACGGTATATGATCACTGAGTGTTCTAACATTTAACAGCACAAAGGAGGAAGTCGGCTAGTTTATTTGACCTAAAACAGCAGGGTGAAAGCACACCATGCCTCAATTTTTCATTTTATTTTATGAACTTTACTCTGTTGGATGTTCGATTGTTGAGCCTAACAGCCTCTGGAAGCCCTTTTCCACGACTCACACACCAAATTATTAACTGATTTGGTTCAACACTTCAGCACGAAAGACCCTTAAAATCTGACCTGTCCATCTGGAAAACAGAAACGCTCTATAACAACCTCCAACACGTTGCATATTAGCTTTAGACTTTGGATAACCACGTGTTTCCCTTTTTGTATTTGAATTTAAAGTGCTCTGATAGGAATACAGATGAACTCTGTTCATGTTCCTGTCACATTCAACACTCTGAGACCTGAATAACTCTGCTGAAGCTAAAGAGACATTAATATTTAATGAAACGAGGAGTTCCCTCATTCATTAAAGTCCTGTCAGTTACTACAGTCATAATCGTATAAAATCCAACACTAATATTTTAAAAACATTCTGATTTTCAGAACAGCAAACTATATTTTAGTTAGTTTGTTCTTAATTTGATTGTTTTCCAATGCATAATGCCACTAAAATGAGATTTGTTTTATATTTTATAAGGAAGCCACTTTGAGGAATTAAATAACCACACCAGATTCCTTTTTTTTTTTAGGATTTTGTTGTCTTGAAATTGAGCCAGCATGTTTCCATTTGAGATCACAGCTAAATCCCACTCAGGTTAATAAAGGCACAAATGTCAAATAAACATTTTAAATGTAAAGATGTATAAACTGATATGACGTTAAAGTTAAGTAATAAGGTTTAAAACACTCACAGTTTGATGGAGTTTAAAGAAACATAATTTTCATTGCAGATGTAAAACAATAGATGAGGGAAAAGTCTTTAAACAGTAAAAAAAAAAAAAAGCAAATATATGACTACAGCAGAAATGAAGGGCATTAACATTTAGAGTTCAGGGAAAAATAGATAAATAAGTAGAAACTATTTATTCTTAAATTACTGTATATGTATACATTTTAGTCATTGCATGAATACATCTGAATATTTACATTAAACTTGATTTCTTCCTACATCCAGGAGACATACCCGCTACTGAGGTAAACCCAGGATTTCACAAACCGTTCAACCTGAATGTGAGCTAATTGAGTGTAAAGCAGCAAAAACGGATCTAATTTGAATATGGATACATCAGTTAATTTAAATAAATAAAATAAAGATTTGTTGATATAAAAATGGCACAATTATCTATTTTTGTGATGTTTCAGTCAGTTCATTGTTTATTGCTAATTCCAACAAAGCAACTTGTTTTTTAAGTCCCTGAAACCCTTAAAGAGCAAATTGCAGGTTAGAGACTCCCATGAACCAATGTTTAGAGAAACTTAATAGAAACTCGTTTTAAAAGTTTTTTTTTACACAAACATAAATTATTTAGGCTTTCAGAGTCATTTTTGTGAAAAAGCTTCTTTTTTTTGCCAAACCAAGTGACGTCAGCTGAGGGACTCCTGTTAGCTTAGGCCTAGTCCACACGTAGCCGGGATTTTAAAAAAAACGAATATCCGCCCCTCCAAAAACTTGCATCCACACCACCTCGTTTAAAAAAAAAACTCTGTCCACACGTACCCGGATAAATACGTTGTTAAGGACATGCCAGACCTGTAGGCGGCAGTACTTTCCCCGTTCTTAACCTCGTCCTTCGTCTGTGGTCTTCCGCAAGGAGCAGTAATTCCGCTTGCAAAAACAAACAAGCAAGAAGCGCTTGGACAACTGATAAAGCGAGCGCAGCTCTGAGGGCATCCATGCTGTCGGCTAGTGTAAACACAGGTCGCACACGTGATGTCAGCATTTTTTTGTCGCGGAAAGTGACGTTGCAGACATTAAAACTCCGGTTTTGTCTGTCCACACGCAGACACCCAAAACGGAGAAAACGCAGATCTTCACTTTGGCCGGAGTTTTTAAAAAGATCCGTTTTCGTGTGGATGACAGGCCAAAACGTAGAAAAATATCTACGTTTTGGCAGATCCCCGGCTACGTGTGGACAGGGCCTTAATCCAGAGAAAAATATGGATTCTAATGGGGGCAGCAGAAGCTTAGGTGGTAGAGCGGGTTGCCTCATGATCGGAGGGTCACGGGTTCGATTCCAGCTCCTGCCAGGGGTATCCTGCTGCTGTGTCCTTGGGCAAGACACCTCACCCAACTTGCCTGTGTTAGTGGTGGTCAGAGGGGCCGACGGCGCCAAATGGCAGCCTCGCCTCTGTCAGACCTCCCCAGGGCGGCTGTGGCTACAAGTAGCTTACCATCACTAGCAGTGTGTGAATGTGAGAGTGTGTGAAAGCATCTTTGGGTGTCTAGAAAAGCGCTATATAAGTTCAATGCATTATTATTATTAATACGGCTCTGACACAGAGGAAACTTTAAATGTTTATAATTCTACTTCTGATGGACCAAAACCATAAAGTTATGAGTTTGCTGCACGCCCCAGAGAGCAGAGACAACCCAGAGGGAGAAACCATCGGCCAAAATGGAGAGATTGAGGAGAAGCAGCGGGGAAGCAGCAGGTGAGTTCACGATGCTAGCTTAAACTCGTGTGCTAACATCACAATACTGTACAGATTACTATCGTGTACCAGACAATTAAAATAGTATTGGTCAGTTAATATAATATTAATACTAATGAGCGTCTGTCAGCGGTCTCATACTCGCTAATATCCGTTCACCTAACGCAGTTTAGTGTTTTAGAGAGAGAGAGAGCTTCCGGTTCTGGAGCTCATGCGGGCTTCTGTGAGCTGGATCCGACCCAAACACCAGCAAGCCAGTCCAGTTGGTATTTTTAAAAGCTGCACATGATCCTCTCCTGGTTGTCTGGGCGGCGGGTCTGATCCAGTTCCGACCCGGAAGCCAACTGGCCCGCTGAGTTGCGCATCTCTTCCGGTGGTCGGTTCTGTCCAGGTTCTGATGGTGATCTGAGCTCCAGAAATCCGCATTTCATTTTTTAAACCCCACCACGGGTCTCCGGAGCCCATCGCGGACCTCTTTGTCCCGGTACCGACCGATGTGGGCTACAGAAGTCCGTCTTTCAACTGCAGAAACGCCCTCAGGCACGGAGATAGAGGCGTTGTTTCTCTTATCTGGAAACCCGGGGACTCGATGTCCAGACAGGCTGGAGCTGGTACAGCCTTCACACACACTATAGTTTATCAAAATGAACACAACCCAAAACTAGTAAACACACACTGACTGGATAACATGACCTCTCGACCCTAGCCACTCTCCACACTGAGCTGAGGCAGCCTAGCTTCTAACTCCCTTTGGTTACGTCAGAGGTTCAGATTTAGAAAAAAGAGCCTTTTTAGGAGCTTTGCTGAGAAATGACACTTTTTACTAGAAAAACTGCTGTTATGTATTTTAAAATTAAATATCCACGATAAGCATTTCAATAGAATTTTTTTGGACAGCAATTTATATGAATTAGAAAAAAATTTAACCTGCAATTTGCTCTTTAACTTCTAATTATTTGTGTGTTTTATAAGATTAGAGCTATGTTTGGCATTTTAAGCTAGATGTTTTTCTTATTTCAGCCATGAAAATAAATGTCATCCTCTGGAAAGTCATGTCAATGTGACAAAATAAAGTAAAAATCCCAACCATCAGACTCCAAAAGCTGACCGTCTCAAAGTGCTTCCAGCTGGACTCAGACCTGTCCGTGTCTTATAAAAACAACAAATGCATGTTTAAGATGGAAGGAATGTTTGCTTACAATTACACTGGGCTCAGCACAAAAAAGAAATCAGACAGAAGGGTCAGAAGACGAAGGCAGGACAATCGTGGGTTTTGTTGTTTGGTTTAAGAAAAGTTAAACGATGGGATTTTTACTGACAACCTGTTAACTCATTCACTGCCATTGACGACTAAAGTCATCATTTGCATGTTTTGACCGTGTGGGCTTCGGAATGAGTCCCCGCACCGTGAGAACAAACATCTCAGCTCTAAATCCGATCTTCATCCGCATACGTTACACGTCACGTGATCAGGAAGCAGAAAATCCATGTGTTAGGAGATCGCTTTGAGCCGCTGCTGTAAAAAAGGTGAGGCGCGAACCGGAAAAGCTTCTGCCGATCACAATTCAACAACGGATTATGAAAGAACGGATAACGCCGCTCGAAACGCGCGGAATCTTCCTGATGTAAGAGGTGAGTCTCCGTTTGTTTGGGTTGTTTTGGTGTTGACATCATCCTAGCGCGCAACGTTCTGTGACTCTTACAAAAACAGTAAAAACGGTGAGAAACTATGGCAGCGAATGAGTTAATTAGATTTAACGTCTGGCACATTTAACAAGTCAGACACAAGTATCGCTTCACACTGCTGATGTCTTTGAAACATGAAAAATAAATGTCGTGACCATATCGGACTGATGCTGAGAACATTATGGCCATGCGTCTAATACATGTCTCACATTTATCACACACACACACACACACACACACACACGCACGCACGCACGCACGCACGCACGCACACACACACACACACACACACACACACACACTGGACATGTGAGATGTCTCATACATATTTGTAATTTACACCAGGCATGCCCAACACTTTAGGGACACATTAGGCCCATGTCAACTCGTCTCACACACAGAACATGTTTGACCCATGCTGAATACGTCCTACTGACCTCTGACATGTCAGACGCTTCAGTCATGTTGGACAAACATTGAATTTATGTTTAACTCGTCCAGCATGTCAGACCCATCTGAAAGCCACGTTAACACTTTAAACATACACGCTGGAGTCATATCAAACAGCTAGGGCTCATTTTGAACAGACGTGAATCGGTTTACTGCAGATTTCTGTTCCCTACGGGGTTCTGGTGGTGTCCTGTTTGCTGAGTAGAACCTCCAGCAGACGGAGCTTTGCTTTGAGCTGTTTGTATTCATGGTACTCCTCCTTCATTGGGGTCCGGTCCTCTTTTTGACAAATACTGTCAGGAAACAGCAAACCTCATCAGCAAGTCACGAAACAAAATGGGCCAGACTGATGACTGTTACAGACATGGACAAAATAGTTGGCCCCCTTTGGTCGGCAAAAGAAAAACCCACAATGGTCACAGAAAATACTTGAATCTGACAAAAACAATAATAAATACAATTTCTATGAAATTCAACCAAATAAAATCAGACATTGCTTTTCAACCATGCTTCAACGGCATTACTTAAAAAAATAAGCTGAAGGAACAGGCCTGGACTAAAATGATGGCACCCCTAGAAAAGACAGAAAATAACGAGGCCAAAGGGACATGTTAATTCAAGGTGTGTCCACTAATTAGTATCACAGGTGTCTACAGTCATGTAATCAGTCAGTGAGCCTTCAGTGTTTGTGCTGCTGTTACAAGTTCATTTCCCCATGGTGGGATCAATAAAGTCTATTCTATTCTATTCTATTCTATATGTAGTGCTCCAGGTAGTGACTGTGTTTAGTGACATGGTGTGTACCTCACTCAACATGGACCAGAGGAAGTCTCAGGAGATTACAAAGAAAATTATAGACAAACCTGAGACAACTGGAGCAGTTCGTTCATGAGGAGCGGGCCAAAATACCTGCTGAGAGGTGCAGACGTATCCTAGACAGCTATAGGAATTGATTGATTGCAGTGATTGCCTCAAAAGGCTGTGTTCTTTATTTGTTGTATGGTAGGAGGACCCCTTGAAAACTGAAATTGTTACATTTAATGAAATACCATCATTTTTGTACAGGCCTGTTCCACAAGTTTAGTTTTGTTAATAATTCCATTGAAGCATGGCTGAAAAGCAATGTCTGATTTTCACTGGTTACATTTAATCAAAGTTTTATTTATTATTACTTTTGTCAGATTCAAGTTATTTCTGTGACCGCTTTGGGGTTTTCTTTCAGTGTTTAAAGGGTATCAACAATTTTGTCCACATTTGCAGGTATAGTCCACTCACCGTCCAGTCTGACGATAAAACTCTTCCTCAAACTCCTTCAGAACTTTACGTCTGACCTTCTTCTCAGCTCTGGTCTCCCGCAGACATTCCAGCAGCTGAGATCTGAAGCAGAGGGAGCCCAGCAGGGTTAGGAAGGAGAACTTCCTGTTTAATAAAACAAACATGAAGTTTGTTCATGCAGACGCACCTGGAGGCTTCGTGCAGGTTAGCTGTAGTGAGAGCAGCCTGCTGACGGATGGCTTTCACCTCATCTATGGGAGACACAAATGCTGGGTCGCTATCTCGGTCACTGTCTTCCTCTCTAGCCATGGGCCAAGTCTCTCGGTGAGGAGACGGAGCACGTACATCACTGACCAGCGAGCAGCTCAGAATCTCATCATCAGAACCTTCCTCTTCCTCCTGAGAAGTATGAGTTCATATTTCACTTCTAAAATGTACTTTGTTGTTAGATGCGACAAGTCAGATATAAACAAGTACGAATCCATTTTTACTTTTACCTTTAAAACCAGTTACAGAAAAACTGGTTTCAGATCAGCCGCAGATTTAAGAAACATGAGGTTTTTAGAGGCCAACCATCCTAACAGAATATTATATAATTGTACTAAATTCAGAATACTTTGTTGCCCTACAATTGTCCACTTTCTTCTTCTTTCTTACTTTGAGCGACACATTTGACAAAAGACTGAGGTGTGTGTAATTGAGAAAGCACTAAAACTCAGTGAAAATCAGCCAAAGGCCACAGAAAAACTTTGGAAGACCACCAGAAAGTCCTGAGTCAGAACACTAAAAACTACAAGAAAATGAGTACTGGGAACAAAAACATAAAGAGACGAGTAGCACATCAGGATTTCAAACAGAAGTGTGGTTTAAAGGTTACGTGGAAAACCGTTCAGAAGCTTTAGTGTTTTAGTTGGTTTCTCACTATTGTGCAGATGGTGGGGCTGGCACACAGCAAGCGTTTGATCATCTGGTAGCGGTCGTACAGAGGCTTCACCAGGTTCTTCTCTTGTTTGGTTCCCTGGTGAACACAAACAAACATAAAACGTTTAACATAAACTTTGGATGTTGGTTTAGAATATAAAAAAGTCGGAGCAGTGCTCCCTGGTACCTTCAGATTATCTTCATGGGGCAGAAGAAGCAGGTGTGTGCCCAAGGAGTGGCCTGGGATGGCACATGCCACCCCTGGAATTTGATTGGCCACCCCAGGTGCCACCCTTTATTAAGCTCTATTTACCTTGGCTTTACATTGTCCACAAAATATTTGGGATCATAAATCCCCTAAAAAGAAGGTGACAGCATGCACATTCAATGTTACTGAATCATTTATATTTTGTTATTCTGTAATATTTTTTCATATTGAAATAAATAATATTAGGAGTCCGGGGTCCATTCCCACACATTCCAGTTAGTGGCGGTAATTCACAAAGAAGCGGCTGACCAACAACCACAAAACAGCTAAAAGAAGAAGCAGGAGGCCTGCAGAACACACCAAGGAGAGGTTTCTGGAGAAAACAGACGAGTGGAGAACATACCCAAGAATTAAGCACTTTCTGTCATTTAATTTTGTTCTTGGTGTTCCTTGAAATGTGAGTAGATTTTTGCACGCAAGTCGACGCAAGCTGCAAGTAGCAGAACTTTCAAGGTTGCGTTGGTTAAGCGGGTTGACTATTAACCACAGCGTTTTACACCATAGTTAACCCGCCAGCCAAAAACTAAGCGCGTCAAAGCTTGTTAAGCAAATCTCTGCGTGAGAAAACCACTTAACAACGACCTAAAGTTTTGAATGTTTTTAAGTGAGGTTTTTATTGTTGTTCATAAAGTTGATTGGTAAACTTTGACTTGCATTTTAATTAATTATTCTCTCAGGAAAATCTGCGATCATCTCATTATTAATCCCATAGAAACAATTAGTTATTTAACCAATTTCTTATAAAATGTGTGACTATAAAATCAGATAGTAAATCAGATAAAGTTGATTTTTATTCTTGCAATTTTCAGCAAGAAAAAACAGAAAGGTAAAGTAAATAGTGTTTGAGTCAAGGCCTCACCGGTCGGCCATGCACACTCTCGAAGTACAGCAGACACTTCTGCAGAGCGATCTTCTCCAGCACCATCTGGGCCTGAGTCATCTCCTGCACACAAACATGAAGACAAACTGAAGACCTGCAGGTCGTTCCAGGAAGAAGAGCTCAGAAACTGGAAATAAAATGTTCAGATTGGAGAGAAAACCCTCACATCTGCATTTACAAACCTTCATGTTGTCAGGGAGACCCAGAGACTGCCTCTTTTCTCTCAGCCGCCTGAACAGAGACTCCACCGTCTCCTCCAGAGATGGTTTGTGGTCCAACGCCCCCTGCTGACCAGAACCAAACCTGCAAGGTAGATCAGAAAGATAGATAGATAGATAGATAGATAGATAGATAGATAAATAAATAAATAAATAAATAAATAAATAAATAAATAAATAAATGACTAAACAGACAGTTTGTTTGATAAATGTGTTTAGTTTGATCTTACATGTACTGAAAAAAACATGTTCTGGTCAACCAGGATAAAAAGGTTCCCCAACATTAAAACATTTCCATTTTCAGAAGAAAACTACAGTGGTTTACCCGCAGTTGTCCGTAGTTTCCTGTTCCTTAGACTCAAACACAGACTGTCTGAGTCTCAACTCTGAAAACACAAACACATGAATAAGTTAGACAAAAATTACACAAAAGGTCAGAGAGAAATAACATTAAATTACAAAAAAAAAAAAAAATAAATAAAAACAGACAACAGACTCACAAATAAATAAATAGGACAAGTTGGACAAGCTTATATAAAGACAAAAGGCACATAATAAAATCAAACAATACAAGGCAAAAATATCTAAAACAATTTCACCTAAAGCCAACAATATCACAGTGAAATGTGACAAATGTCAGACAAAAATAATTAAAAAGTCAGACAAAACCAGACCAATAAAATCAGATTAGTTACACAAGTCAGTCAAACCTCACACAGAACCAGAAAGAAATAATTTGGATAGCCATAATAATCCATATTTTAAGTATAAAACCTATTATTAAAATGAAGGCTATTTAAAGTTTTCTGAATGAAAACACAAGATTATTTTTCCAAAATGAAAATACAAATATTCTTTTAAAAAAGGTCATCTGTGTCCCTGACTGATAAGTCACAACCTGAAGCATGCTGTAATGTTGGACAGTAAAACAAAAACATCTACCGGTATTTAAAGTTGAGACAAAACTTTAACTATGTTAGTGTCATTCAGTTTGATGGGAAATAACAGTCAAAGGAAACGGGAAGAGACATTATAAATATTAATAATATTTTAAACAGCAAAAAATAATAAAAGTTATATTTTATTTAACCTTTAAGCTGCTTGCGAGCCTTTGCCAGTTCGCTCATCACTCTGACCATCTCTGGGTTGGAATATTTATCGTTGTGAGACGGCTGAAAAACAAAAAGACACAACAGACCCACAATAACTGAGTTGGATGACAGGAATTGAATTTAACTGGTTATGTAATGCTGGTAAATATATTTACCAGCATTACATTAGTTGTGAATGTCTGATCACACTAACATGAGACCCATTCAATAACACTGTGTTGAGTGATACACAAGCCCCATGCTGATAAATACAAATGAGTGATGAGACTAAATCCTGAGAGTGGAAAAGAATGAAATGAAAACCACATAAATTCTGTGGCAGATATAAAGACAGATGTTAGATCATTTTCAAAAGATAATTGATTCCTAACATGACAGAATATCAGCTCTAGCCCAATTTTTCAAAAGCTGTTTAATCACACAGATTAGATCAGTGTCAGTCAAAGCAGGCACCAATGGAGTCGCCCAATAAGTTATGAGCATCTTCTGTTGTTCCCTGGGTTCTCTGTGAAACCTGACACTTGCTTTCAAATAAATGTCCTTAATAGTCTGGGAATGTCTTGAGAGGAGGTGGAAAGTGTTGCTAGGGAGATGGAGGTCTGGCTTCCTCTCCTCTGCAGCCTGACATGTCACCATCTAACTAGTTTAGTAAGTGTGGATTTACCTTGTAGTTCATCTCCTGCTCAAACTGGTCCTCAAACCTGCGGACCCTTTTTTTCAGGTTCTGAATCTGTCTGGTGAGGAAGGAGACAGAAGGGGGACACTCATCCTCGGATCCCTCGGTCCTGTCCTCCCGACCCCGACATCTAAAAAATACACATTAAGAGGCAGGTCCTTCAGCATGCTGTGGCTGTTCCAGACGCCCCTCACCATTACTGAGCTGAAACTGTTAGAGGGTGCCAATTATTACTGGGTCAGATTCAACAAGATCATTTGGGAGATGGTATCTTTCTCAAGCAGAAACAGTATTTAGCTGATGATCAACCAGATGCCTCACATTTGTAAGATTACCTTTTTTGATTCACAAAAAAATACAAAATGCATTCTCTAAAAAACTAAAGTATGGATGAACTAATAATCCGTATATAAGCAGCAAAAGGAAGTTCATTGTGAGATGTTGTTGTTTTTCATCAGTAAACAATAATGTGAGCTGAATGTGACATCAAAACAAAAAACTGGGTCACAAACACATTTTGACCCTCTGCTTTAGGCCTTGGGTCTAAATATAGAAGATGGAAAAGAAGGATGGATTATATAAGATGCATTAATGCAACAGACACGTCGAGGTCAAACTGAAACCAGGAACACTCAGACCATATTTCATCCAAAATACTCCTCAAGAAACTTTCAGACACAATAGTGAGTGCTGAAGGACTGAAAGAAGAGATGTTTTATTTCTTACAAATTACCAAATAAAACAAGTTCCAAGCTACAGTCCAACCTTATGAATAAAACCAGCACCAATAGATTACGTCTGGTCTCAAAACCAAGAACAGATGCCAAATACAGACCTTTATGAAGACCAGGAATTTCTAAATAAACTGTTGATTAAGACAGGGACTCCTTATGGTCTGCAAGCCTCTGATGTAGACTGAAAACAGGGGTTACAAGACTTCTTTTAAGTTCCAAATACAGACCCACTTTCATGATCCTCAAGTTCCATGAGCAAACCCAAAACACACAAAAGTAACAAGACCAACAAAACTCTAAATCAAGGCCCAGCCAGTCCCGAGGCATGAGCCAACTCAGAACCAACAGTGTTGGCAGCATCAGGACCAGCCAATCCAAAGTCTAAGACCCAAAAATCCCAGCTACCAAACCAGTATAGATGAACTGGGAAAAAAAATCAAGATGCTCACAGAATGTACTGCTGGCTGCAAGGTGGTGATGGAGCACTGTCTGGGTCGGAGTTGAACCTCAGGCTGGGGCTGGAGCAGCGTGGGGAGGGCAGGGGGCTGGGGAGTCCAGCCAGCAGCTGAAGGAAAGCTCCGCCTCCTCCTCTCTCCCATCCATCACCTGCAGGGCTGCTTCTCTGAGGGGAGAGGTGAGGGCTGGGAGGCATCACATCAGACCCTGGGGGCTGCTGGTCCAGATGGATAGGAGCTAAAGGTTGATGCTTGGGGGGGTGTGGAGGTCTGCTCAGCACTGGCATAAGATCTGATGACACAGAAGAGGGAAATTCCCTTTCACCTAATTAATTCTAATACAGGAAACAACAATGTGTTTTTGAATTATTTCTCATGAATTTGAAGGTTTATTTGTGTTTAAAGTCACTGAAACACATTTCCTGTAAGCTGCTGGTTGATTTCTGTCATTGTACACTCAACATAACTGTAATTGAGTATAATTTAAAATGTGCATTAAATGATCAGTAAGTATCTCACTGAAAGCAGCTGTATTTAAACCAACCAGTGTAAGTAAGACCAGAAGGAGGTCAGTGTGCTTCAAACGCTACAGTTTCTGGCTATAAATAGAAAAACACTCAGGGTGTAACAACGAGATGGTGTGCCAGAAACACACACAGATGCTGCTTGAGGTGTGTGTGTGTGTGTGTGTGTGTGTGTGTGTGTGTGTGTGTGTGTGTGTGTGTGTAAACCAGCTGACTCAACATAAACAGCGTATCCAAAAACTGACGTAAAATCCATTATCGTGCTGATATGGGATGACAGACAAATAGGGAAAGACAGACAGACAGGTAACGGCAGACAGGTCCAGACAGACAGATAAGCAGAAGACAGACAGATGAAGGCAGAAGTACCTGGTGGGTTGTTCTCATCCGTTGGGTCTCTATGGCAGAGGGCAGCTGTCTTCCCCCCCAGTTCAGATGGGACACAGGGGCTCTTTGGCTCCTTGCTACCCAAGGCAGGGGGGCTCTCCTCTGGGGACGGCCCCAGCGATGAGCCCCCCTCCACCTCCAGTGCCTGGAGCTTCAACAGCGAACTTTGCAGGCAGAAACAGAACATGCCAGACACACCGATCAAGAGATTATTCAGGTCCCAGGAGGATAATGCCCACCACAGTCAGCTTTGCTGTCACTGAAATAGATCCAGATATTAGCCAAGTCCCAGTCGCATCACATGTGGAGGAGTGCAAGGGGGTGTTCGAGAGATCTGCTGGTTGCTGTTCAGAAATCTCTTTCAAATTAAAGGATGACTCAGCCAGCCTTTAAACAGGAATTCTCTTCCAATAAGCCAAGCCCCCATTCCCCTTGTTGTTTACCTTTCCAGAGATTAGTCAGGTATGCGTGGCATGTTGGTGAAATGCAGATATTTCTTCCTTCCTGGTCTTTATTAGTGCCGTTCCCCGGGAGTTTGCAGAGTCCAGTAAAATCTAGAAGCATGAATTCAGGTGATTCCTTCTTCTTTTTGTGCAGTCTCTTAAAGTGAGTACATAAATCAGCCTGCTCCGATCAGAAGGAGTTCAGCACGGAGATTTTTGAATTCTCAGACTATGGTTTGCATGTTCTGTGAGGATGATGATGGTGGTGGTGATGCAATGGTCTCCTCCCTCCCTCATCCTCGCTTTCTTCCACTGTGTTAGCACCTCTCTCATCCCTCCTCCCTCTCCGGTTGGATTACTCATCCCCAGTCTTGAGAGGAAGAGGAGGGAGGAAGAGGAGGGGGAGGGAGATGTTTGCCTCCATCAGGATGAGAGACGTGCAGGGAGCATCTCTCATCCTGGTGGTGAGGTTTTTCCCGCATCAGAGGGGGAGGATTCAACTGCTGACATCACTGACTCATTCATAAAAGCGCAGGATGAAGGAGGAAGAGGAGGTGGGACGTGCTTCTCTTCACACATCCTCCCATGCCTCTCAGCTGCAGGCTGATCATCAGTGAACTGATTCTGTTTGTGTCTGCATGGTGTCTTGGCTCAGTTCTTGTGTGATAATTGTCTCAGCTAATTTGATTCAGGTGTCAATCAGGAGATTTATACTGAAATGAATAATAAAGCAAATTGTTAAAAATCTGACTCAATACTTCCCAGATGATTTTAGAGAATCACATAAACAGTTGCTCTGCAGCATCAAACCACAAATATCAAACAAGACCCTATATATGTTTATTTTAAATATTGTGTTTATGATTCTGGGTTGAACACACCAGACGCCCACAGGAATCCAGGTGATTTTATACGGTTCTGTTAATGAGCAACAACAAAACATCATAAAAGCTACTTCCCCAAATGTGTGTGAAACATGGCAACAAACAGGTCAGTGACAGCCCCAATCAAATACAGACTTCAGATTCTAAATGCACGACATAGATATTTATATGTGAGCAAAATGTTAGTTAATACATGTCATGATTGTGTGTAAAACTATCAGGGTGATTAAATGGTCTAATGAGCAAACGCGGCATCTAGTGGTCTGATTGAAAAACTACATGAGACTGACGTAACAGAATGAACTTCCTTCCGTCGCATTACGTTGGTCTGACGTTTCTATTCTGTTCTATTTTTTAATAATGGACTAAATATTTAATGAAGAAACAACTTTAATGTCATTAATATTTGTTAAACACCGGAAGAACGTGTAAATAAATTCATAATTCATTTATTTTGAGCCATGTAAATTCATTTATCATTATCCTGCCTTTTACATGCGTGCCCGCATGCGCGCACACACACACACACACACATACACACAATTATTTTCTCCTTTTAACTAATTGAGCTTGTTTGAAGCTGGAGTAAAGAGGGTTGGTCGGACAAGGTGGCAGGGGGTCATTATTTGAGGTTGGAGAGGGGCATAGATCGTCGTCCTTGTCGTCTTCCTCCGCTTATCCGGGACCGGGTCGCGGGAGGCAGCATCCCAACTAGGGAGCTCCAGACCGTCCTCTCACCGGCCACCTCCACCAGCTCCTCCGGCAGGACCCCAAGGCTTTCCCGGACCAGATTGGAGATGTAACCTCTCCAACGTATCCTGGGTCAACCCGGGGGCCTCCTGCCGACAGGACATGCCCGAAACACCTCCCCAGGGAGGTGTCCAGGAGGCATCCTGACCAGATGCCCAACCCACCTTAACTGACTCCTTTCAATCCGGAGGAGCAGCGGTTCTACTCCGAGTCCCTCTTGAATGTCCAAGGTCCTCACCCTATCTCTAAGACTGAGCCCGGCCACCCTACGGAGGAAACTAATTTCGGCCGCTTATATCCGCGATCTTGTTCTTTCGGTCATTACCCAAAGCTCATGACCATAGGTGAGGATTGGGATGTAGATCGACCGGTAAATCGAGAGCCTGGTTTTCTGGCTCAGCTTCCTCTTCACCACGACAGATCGGCTCAGCATCCACATCACTGCAGACGCTGAACCAATCCGCCTGTCAATCTCCCGATCCCTCCTACTCTCACTCGTGAACAAGACCCCGATATACTAATGGGCCATTCCCATCTGTACCGGGTCGGCCCGGGCCTGGTAGCCCCAGTCGGCCCCAGTCGGCCCCAGCCTGGCCCGGTTGATTCCACACATCCTTGTCTTGAGCCCATGTGGGCTGATTCTACCCACCAATCAGAGGCTTGCTCTAATGGAAGGTGTGAATGGGCTGATTCTACCCACCAATCAGAGGCTTGCTCTAATGGAAGGTGTGAATTTCTTGTCAGCAGTGGGCATGTTGGCCCTGGTCGGCCTGAAGCAGTACCCCTCGGGAAGAGGGCCGAGAATGAGCCTTGGTTGGCCCGGGAAAATTCCAGGCCACCCAGATATGTAAACAACCTACGCTACCCGGCCCGGGCCGACCCGGTACAGGTGGGAATGGGGCTTTAAACTCCTCCACTTGAGGTAGGACCTCTCTCCTGACCCGGAGTTGGCAAGCCACCCTTTTCCGGTCGAGAACCATAGTCTCAGATTTGGAGGTGCTGATCCTCATCCCAGCCACTTCACACTCGGCTGCAAACCTACCCAGCAAGAGCTGAAGGTCAGAGCTGGATGAAGCTAGGAGGACCACATCATCCGCAAAAAGCAGAGACGAGATTCTACTGCCACCAAACTTGACACACTCCACACCACGGCTGCGCCTAGAAAATCTGTCCATAAAGGTAATGAACAGAACTGGTGACAAAGGGCAGCCCTGGCGGAGTCCAACCCTCACCGAGAACAGGTCCGACTTACTACCGGCTATGCGGACCAAACTCACGCTCCTCTGGTAAAGGGACTGAATGGCCCTTAACAGAAAGCCACCCACCCCATACTCCTGGAGCGTCCCCCACAGAGTGCCACTGGGGACACGGTCATAAGCCTACTCCAAATCCACAAAGCACATGTGGATTGGTTGGGCAAACTCCCATGCCCCCTCCATCACCCTTGCAAGAGTATAGAGCTGGTCCACAGTTCCACGGCCAGGACGAAAACCACATTGCTCCTCCTCAATCTGAGATTCAACTATCGATCAGACCCTCCTCTCCAGTACCTTGGAATATACCTTTCCAGAGAGGCTGAGGAGTGTGATCCCCCTATAGTGGGAACACACCCTCAGGTCATCCTTCTTAAAGATGGGGACCATCACCCCGGTCTGCCACTCCACAGGAACTGCCCTCGATGACCACGCAATGTTGCAGAGACGTGTCAACCACGACAGCACTACAACATCCATAGCCTTGAGATACCCAGGATGAATCTCATCCGCCCCCGGGGCTCCGCCGCTGTGTAGTTGTTTGACTACCTCAGTAACTTCTGCCCCCGAGATTGGACAGTCCATCCCCAGGTCTCTCGGCTCTGGTTCCTCCTCGGAATGCGCGTAGTTGGGATTTAGGAGCTCCTCAAAGTATTCCTTCCACCATCCAACTATAGCCCCAGTTGATGTCAGCAGCTCCCCATCCCCACTGTAAACAGTGTGAGCGAGTTGCTGCCTTCCTCTCCTGAGGCGCCGGACAGTTTGCCAGAACCTCTTTGGAGCCGATCGATAGTCTTTCTCTGTGGCCTCACCAAACTCCTCCCACGCCCAAGATTTTGCCTCAGCAACTGCCACTGCTGCACCCCGCTTGGCTATCCGGTACCTGTCTGCTGCCTCTGGAGACCCACAGACCAGCCATGCCCTGTAGGCCTCCTTCTTCAGCCTGACAGCTCCCCGAACCTCTGGTGTCCACCAGCGGGTACGGGGGTTGCCACCGCGATTGGCACCGGCCACCTTGCGACCACAGCTAGCAATAGCCGCCTCAACAATCGCAGAGTGGAACAAGGCCCACTCGGAGTCAATGTCCCCCACTGCTCTTGGGACGCGGTCAAAGCTCTGCCAGAGGTGGGAGTTGAAGACCGTCTTGACAGGTTCTTCTGCCAGGCGTTCCCAGCAAACCCTCACTATGCGTTTGGGTCTGCCAGGTCTACGCGGCATCTTCCCCTGCCATCTGATCCAACTCACCACCAGGTGGTGATCAGTTGACAGCTCTGCTGACATAGATATGTATATAAACATTTATATGTTTATATATACATATCTATGGAGAGGGGAACATGTTTCAATTCAATTCAATTCAATTTTATTTATATAGTGCCAAATCACGACAAGAGTCATCTCAAGGCACTTCACATACGTAATAAACATTCCAATCCAGGTCATTTCATTAAGCCAATCAGAAAAAATGTTTCCTATATAAGGAACCCAGCAAATTGCATCAAGCTATCCTCATACTAAGCAAGCATATAGTGACAGTGGAGAGGAAAACTCCCTCTTAACAGGAAGAAACCTCAAGAGGATCCTGGCTCAGCATAAGCAGCCATCCACCATGACTCATTGGGGATCGAGAAAACAGAGCCGACACACACGCACACGCACACACACACGCGCGCACGCGCACACACACACACACACACACACACACACACACACACACACACACACACACACCAAGCAAACTGTCTATAGTTGCATTGCGGTTTCTTAGTAAATATTCTATTTGGCGAGAGATAAACTTTATTGTATTTATCCTAGTGAATCTAAAATTAAACGGGTAAACTAGCAGTAGCACATCCAACGTCAAGGAAAGTAAAAAGTTATTATCAGGAGAGGGAGAATGTTGAAGTGGTTAGCAGCAGTGTGCTAGACGATGGCCCCCTCCATGAAGCCACCACAGCTCAGCAGAACATCACTGTCGCTTCTTCTGGGGAGAAAAACACTTAGAGAAAAAATAAAGTTAACAGCTGAAATTGCAGATAATAATACAGTTAAAGAGCAGATTGTGGAAGACAGTAGTAGAGTGTGAAAAGTGGTCAGTGTGTCCTCCAGCAGTCTAAGCCTAAAGCAGCATGAAGATAACTCTGGATAACCTAGCCTTTTAGATGGAGGAATGTTGGAGGCAGGGCAAGGGAGAGCTGTCTTTACCGACTGCACACTCCACCTCCCTCTACTCCCCCACTTGTCCAGATCTAGGCTAACATCAGATTTAACCATAGGCCCTATCAAATAAAAATGTTTTAAGCCTAGTGTTAAAAGTAGACAAGGTATCTGCCTCACGGACTAAGGCTTGGGAGCTGGTTCCACAGTAGAGGAGCCTGATAACTAAAAGATCTGCCTCCCATCCTAATTTTAGATATTCTGGGAACCACCAGTAAACCTGCAGTCTGAGAGTGAAGTGCTCGGTTAGGAACGTATGGAACAATCAGATCACTGATGTATGATGGAGCTTCTTAGGTGTGTTCTTGCTGTGCGTTATTTCTAATTCCATGTTGTCGTTTTTTTTTAAAACACAGAAACGGTTTTGTTACCTGTTGTTGACGCTACATTTCGCCGACGGCTGCCGGCTTCTTCAGGCTGACGCTGATGGTGGCGCTTCACTTCCTTCTCCGTTTATCTGCGGGCAGCAGAGGACGTTGTCGCCCTCTACTTCTAATTTCCTGCTCAGTTGAATTTGTTCTAATATTTATGAGATTTCCATGATTTGCTTTATTAAGCCTGATATTTAATCTGTGTGATTTTGGCCGTGGGCAGAACACTGTTTCAATGGGGTAGTGGGTGGGTAACAGTACAGAAGCTGCAGAGGGGTGTGTTAAACTATGACTCTGCTTCCTGGTCTGTGCCCTGGGTTGTCATGGAGGACTAATAAAACTGGCCATGTTCCTAGAAAGAAGAGCTGCACCATCCAAAGAGGGATGGATGCCGTCTCTTCGCATCAGACCAGGTTTTCCCCAAAAAGTTTTCCAATTATCAATGTAGCCCACGTTGTTTTCAGGACACCACCTAGACTACCAGCGGTTGAAGGACAGCATGTGGCTAAACATGTCGTCACTGGTCCGATCAGGCAGGGGGCCAGAGAAAATTACAGAGTCCGACATTGTTTTGGCAAACTTACAACCGAAGCAACATTAATCTTAGTGACCTCCAATTGGCGTAACCGGGTGTCGTTACCGCCAGCGTGAATAACAATATTACTGTATTTACGCTTATCCTTAGCCAGCAGTTTCAGGTAAGATTTGATGTCGCCCGCTCTGGCCCCAGGTAAACATATAACTATGGTTGCTGGAGTCTCTAATGCCACATTTCTGACTATGGAGCTGCCAGTGATCAGAGTTGGCTTGTCAGTGGGTCACTGAGCGGGGAAAATCTGTTAGAAACGTGGACGGGTTGGTGGTGGTCCACGGGCTGGGTTCTATGTTTCCTGCGTACCGTCACCCAGCCGGCCTGAGGTCCCGGCTGCTCGAGTTCTGCAGGAGGATCGCTACGGGGTGGTTCTGAGCTAGTTAGCCCTGCGCTAGCCAAGTAGCTACGGCTGTTTACGGGCTTTTCAACAGCGTGGAGCCAGGCCTCCAATTCCGACACCCTCGCGCGTGTGTGTGTGTGTTTTATAGGAATGTAAAAAGCCGCACAAATGCTAACAGATTTCTACACAGAAAAAAAAACCACAAGAGCAGCTTTTAAGTTTTTACAATTTTACAGAGGATGAATTTCTGGTTGTAACAGAATAGTTTTACTCTGTATCAGGCATACTTTTACCTAGGTAATTATTTAGGTAAAGTCACATGTGCTGGAAATGTGTACAAAACTAAATAATGTTTCAAACTGTTCTATGATTGAGGTATTTTTATTTCAAAAGTAAGGTTTTGTGATGGTTGATGGCAAAAACATAGCATTAAAACAGCATGTTTGCATTAGAGCCTTTATTTTTTTAAACATCCATCTGCTTTGGTGACAGTGTTTGTATTTTTAACAGTCAGAACCAGAAAGTTCATCTGACCTGAGATGGGAGATTAAGCTACTATAAAGGTTTAGAATATTATTATTATTATTATGAATAATAATAATAATAATAATAATAATAATTATTATTATTATTATTATTATAAATAAGAAAGCACCGTGCTGTAAACTCACAGACTCAGATAATTGTCGAAATGAGTCGTAAGCTTGGAACTTTGGCTGAGATTCAGGCTCTGGCACAGACGGTTGATTCGATCAAGGAGAGAGCTGATGGATCAGCACAGATTGGAAAAGTTTGATAATGCCATTATTGGATCTGGAGGGGTTGAAGACCGACAGAACTCTAAGGTAGAGAGGAACTTATCTCTGCCTGTACCCAAAACAATTCTTGCTATCTGAATCTGGTGCCCTTGAAGCCTGTGAGGCTGAAGTGTAAACTCCCCTCAGAAGAAATGTGGAATGCTGCTGTCGCCATGGAAACTCTTTCTCCCTATCCCAGCCTGGGCGGGACTGTGACCAGTGAAGGCAGTGGAACCGTCTCTTGGAGTCAGTGTGCTCTCTAACCTAATAATCTCCCTCCTCTGTCCAAACGGAGGTGGTGAGCGCTACTCTTGCGGCTGCGCACTCCGAAGTGAGGAGAGTCCCAGAACCCTCCCTCCCCACCTAGTGGAGACTTATAATGTGTATCGTCTGAAGTCTGTATGCATATTTGTCTGAGGTGTTTTTTTGCATAGCAAAGCTATCCTCTCTGTCGGGGGTAACTCTGAAGTGCCTTTTCCCCCTCCCCCTGACTCTATCCTCATATAAACCCTCTTGATCTATAACAGTAATGTGACTTGTGTTGCGAATGACCAGAGTCACCAATTCTTGTCATGTGTCTATGTATGTATGTCTGATCTTGGAAGTGTCTGTACTGAAACAATTGCCCCTCGGGGATGATAAAAGTTTTATAGAATTAGAATTAGAATTTTATTATTATTATTATTATTATTATTATTATTATTATTATTATTATTATTATAGTCTAATTAAATTACAAAACCCTAATCCGGAATCCACAAATAAGTCTATGAGGCTTTCTTTCACAAACACCAAAATACACATTCACTAAAATAGGAACAATAAACATTTTTCTTCTGGTCCATAAAAAACAACAACATCTTAATGTTTTAGCTGTGAAAATATGCGTCATGTTATAGCATCTTTGCGTTTTTATCTTTATTTCAGCAAACCAAACTAAGAACCCTGTCAGTTGAATGGGATTAAGAAACATTCTTATGTTCTGTTTTTATGCCAAGCTAGGCTAACTCACCAGGCTCTGCTATTTGGTGGTGGAAATGAAGCACTGCCACCACAGTCATCATGCTGAGACTTCACAGCACTAATCAGTTTACAAAAATATCACTGAAAATTCAGACAGCTAATACAAAAGCTCCATACAAAAGTAAAACAACTCTTCACCTCTGTTAAAAGCTGCCACAAAATGCATCATAAACAACCAGATGTGTCACTTTAACATATAAAAGGAAGTGAAAAACTGCTTGTCTGTCCCAGACTTTAACGTTCACTTAGTTAGCATGCAAATGGCAGAAGCACCATGGTTTGATCTTTAACTTTTATGTTAATTGCAGTTTTAAAAACAGAGTCAGATCCAGGTGAGGTTTAGTCCTCATCTGATATGTACATCAGGTTTTAATCAGTTTGAACTCCCTCTGTTGTTCACTTGGTTCTGATCACTCAGTATATGATCACTGCAATATCTAAGGTTCAGAACAAACAGACAAACGTTAGCACAACCATATTGACAGGTGAAGATTCAGAAATTAAAGGACCAGTGAGTTGTGTGTAGTGACATCTAGTGGCTCAAAGTGCAAACTGCAGCAGAATAATTTGATTCACTGACAGGATCACAATTCTTAGAGCAGACAGATCACCAGCCGGTGCCTCACTGTCTTTTCATCTGATAAAAAACCAAAGTGTGGAAGAGCAAATCTCTGCATGTAGGAAGCATTGGTTATCCATAAATGTTTGTCTGTTAGAAGGCAAGGGTGGGGTCTCATGGATCCGCCTAGCTTGTTGAGTCGCCACAGAGAGAGCAACAGATGTTTCTCCCAAAAATCAGCATCGGAGGTGCCAGGCGGTGGCTTGAGGTTGCTAAAGCAATGGATAGATTTGGCCTAGCAATGGGTTAGCAACCCGACTCTAACCCTTCTCAACCCCTCACACTCAATACGCTGTAAAGTAACTGCTGGGAAGAAATAATGGCACTGCCTATAGGCAGAACAGAGTTGTAAGAACCAAGCAAACACCATTGACAGAGAAGCAAAGTTTCCGTTTGGCTGACGGACACAGAACCTAGAATCAGTCCCATCTGTCCTTCTGCAGAGGTTCACTCCATTTCTTCCTCTATAATCTGAGATTCAGGTTTCATGGACCAGAGACGTTTGATTCCAGAGGTCCTGGACAACGCTAGGCTTTAGTGGGCTGATTATTCAGGTGTAGCACTTGTGATGCAGCAGGTTTAAGAGTCACAATCTCTGATGAAGCGTTGTTGTGTGAGAAGTCCTGTGATCTGTGACTGATGAGTGAAAACAAAACTCAGCCGCAGAAAAACAAAGAAGCCCTGAAAGGTTTGATTTACTGTTTTCATTCCCATGTTTCTCAGCCAGAATCACTTCAGGCTTTCCCAGTAAATTATTTTACTTTTAAAAATTTTTAAATGAACAAACTATTCTGTGGTGAACCTTTTATGTGTTAACATTTTTATGATAAATTATCTTTTTTTTTAGCATAATTTCCTTTGCACTTAATTTTGAGACATAAAGGGGCATTATGGAAGTTTGACAGCCAAAACATGTATAGAAATAATAAATTTCTTCTTCATACATTCTCCTGCAATGCCCTGGTCCTGTAGAATGAGCCCTGGCATTTTTACTGTGATTGCCTGTTTTTCTGTAAAATCACAGAAAAAGAGATGCTCTGGTCGAGCAGGCTGCTTCATGCGCGTTCACGCTCAGGCATCGCCCGTAGCATTTGCTATCAGTAGCTCTAGCAGCAGAGAGAGAGGCAGTGCCAACTCAGTGACTTTGTCGCTGTTCCTAACGCCTAGTGATGAACCTAGCTACATTTCTGAGGACCCTTAGCTACTTTCTTCTAGATATTTCCTGCAAATTAGCAACAACGTAGCCATTTTCGCTCCGAACAGTTCTTTGAACGTTGTTTCAGCTGTCATCAAGGATATAAAAGTTACAGATAAGAAAGACGTTACTGGCGCTGTAGCTCAGACGTCAGACTCTCGTGCAGAAGATCCGGGTTTGATTCTTGATGTGAATGTAATTTATGTAGATTTTATTTTTTACATTAATGGTATATTTTTTACAGTAAGATGCCCAAAATTTTATTTGAGACTCGCCGAACGGCTTTGAATTCACAGATAAAAAAGATGTGGGTTCAACTTTCACTTTGGAACAATTTTTCAAGCAAGGGAAGGGAATGATCTGTGAAGCTGACGGACTGACCCATCTTAAACCTTTGTCAGCTGTGCTGAACATCGACATATGGTGCTGAAATGAAAGGTACAGAACCAAATTATTTAATTAATTAGCTGCGCGTTCTCCTGTCCTCTGTCACACACTCACACACGGAGCTGACTGTCTCAGCTGTATTTTCGTTAAGGGACGTGCACGTACAGCATGCACGCCTCGTGCACGAGCCTACTATTGAAGCTGCCGTTAAGTTTTTGGCCTGAGGGGGCAATCGCGAGCATAAAAAATCAAAACTCCGTAAAGTCCCTTTAAGATAAAGTGTTCAGCCAATTCAACTGATGAAATGAAAGAACCTGAATTTGATCTTTTTGCTAAACTTTCAAAAATCTGTACATAAGATACTAAAATGTATTTAGGGATTTATTTTCTTATTTCTATCTTGAGGTTTCTTCAGCTGTTCAGGGTTTGATCTCGTTTAGGTAGATTCAATGAAAGTAGTGATGATGTTTAAAGGCAGAAGGATCTATTAAATGCTATTTTACCACTAAAAAGAACTTTGTTAAACAGGAAGAACTGGTCGGTTCCGTTCCTGCTAGAAGATTCAGAACACTCATCTGGCATCAACAAACCCAGAAAGGTCCAGCTGCTGATAGAGAAACACACCAAAAGTTGTCAGAAGGCATAAAAAAGTTCTGTGCATTCTGGTGGGTCCACTTCACCAAAAACCTCCACAGCACTGACAATATGAATAAAAAAAAATCTTCCACCATGGTTCCAGATGATGTTTACAGAGCTGATCCTGAGCTCAGGATGGAAGATGGACATGATCCGGTGCTCAGTTTCGTCACTTATCCCTCAGATGGACCTACTGGATCGGTCCCATCATCCAGAGTTCTTTTTCCATTGACAGCCAGTTTAAGATCAGATCTCCTCATCTACACAAGTCCAGCTGGGCATCAAAATGTTCCATTTCTGTTCCACCTGCAGACATTTGATCTTCATCCTTATCACAGAAAGTCAGGCTGGATCTAAAAGTCGTAGTCCCATCCAGAGGTATCGTCAGGCGGTGGTTCCTCTGTGTCCTCTGGGAAATTGTCGAAGTTACTGGTATCAGTCTGAGACGAGACCTGAACACAAAGAAGAATTAAAACAAAACTTTGTTGGAATTAATGCATCAAAAACATTTGCTCCATTATTTTTTAAGCATTAGCCAGAGGTTCAATTGTCCAAATATTTACAGATTTGATGACTCAGCTAGTTTAAACACATGTACCTACCTCGGGTATAATGGGCGGAGTCAGTGTTCCCTTCCTGAGACCCTCCCAGTTAAAACCTTCAAACCACCTGAACACAAACATTAGTTTAATCTTAAACTGGTCAAATGAAGATTGTTAAACATATCTTTGCTCACTAACTTGTGCTTCTGGATGTCCTTCACGCCGTTCTTCAGGTTTCCGAGTCTCTCTGATGGATTATCTCTGCCAACAAAAATACACATACAGTCAAGCACCCGACCTGAGAGGGGTCAGAGGGACCTGCTCAGGAAAACAGCACCCCTACCTGCAGAGCTTCTTGATGAGGTTAGCTGCATTCTTGGTGACCTTTTTTGGGAATTCAATCAAGTCTATGCCTCTCAAGATGATGTTATAGGTTTTCATCGGATCCGGACCTGAGAACGGAGGACTGCATACACAAAAGGACCTTTACAACTCAGAATAATAGCTATTTGTTTCCTCTGACCTCAGATGAGCGCTCACCTGCCGGTCAGCAGCTCGTACATCAGGATGCCCAGGGACCAGTAATCTGAGGAGACATCGTGGCCCTTGTTGAGGATGATCTCTGGAGCGACGTACTCTGGCGTTCCACAGAATGTCCACGTTTTCTTACAGTAGCCAATTTTCTTTGCAAAACCAAAATCAACCTGAAAAGTCAAAGCAGCAAATTTTTCTTCTGCTGTGATGAGAACACTTGAAGCTGTTATTCTTTGTTAGATAGATTCTAAAATTATTTAAGCTTTTTTATTACATCTTCTTTTGGATAAAACTTTTACAAAATAAAACTTAAACAGATTTTTGCAAACACTTCTGTCCTATTAGCTCCCTCAAAGCTTCAAGCTTCTGCTGTTTAAAACAAACTTGAGGTTTTTAACTTGATAAACACGAGTTTTCATAATGACCTGCAGGACGTACCAACTTGGCGTATCCTCTGCTGTCCAGGATCAGGTTCTCGGGTTTCAGGTCTCGGTAGATGATGCCTTTGGCGTGCAGGTACGCAAACGCTTCAACCACACAGCCCGTGTAGAACCTGGTGGTTGAATCATCAAACGAACCCCTGAAACAAACAAACATACAAACAGATCCGAGGGTTTTCAGCTGACTTGGTTTATAGATGTATAAAATGTATTATTTATCAAGAAAGATTTTTAAATATTTTTCTTAGAGTTAGTGGTATAGACATGTTGCTGTTAGCCAATAAGAGGCGAGATGTCCAAATATCAAGAAATAAGACTCCAAATCCTGTCGTCTACTTTCTCCTTTAGCTGAATTCTCTGTGTTGAAACAGGCGCACTGGAGCTTTCTTACCCCAGCTTACTACTTAGAAGGCATTCATTCCTACTTACTGCAAATGAGTGAAGAACTTCCTCAAATGAAAATAGTAAAAGCTCTGATAAACTAAGGGTATATTCAAATAATACATATAATTGTAGAGCATAAATAAAATTATTTTAATTACTTCAAAAAATTCAAAAAACACTTATTGGTCAATCCCAAAATTTATTTATGTAAAAAAATGTAACTTCAAATAAAAATGTCTTTTATCTAAACATGGAAATGTAGCTTTTTATGACATTATGAATTCATTAAGAAGTCTACTTTTGATCAGTCATTTCAGTAAAACAGATTCAAGTATCAGTGTTTCTCCCTGTTAAAAGGGAGTTTTCCTCTCCACTGTCACTGCATGCTTGCTTAGTATGAGGATTGCTGTAAAGACTCTGACACCAGTCAGTGACTCGATGCAATCTGCTGAGTTCCTTACATGGGAAACTTTTTACTGCTTGGCTAAATGAACTGACCTGTATTGGAATGTTTACTGTGTGATGTGCCTTGAGACGACTCTTGTCCTGATTTGGTGCCATACAAATAAACTTGAATTGAATTGTATATCCGTCATTATTAAGGATCGTCCAGGTGTGAAGCTTACCTGTCCCTCAAAATGGTCCACAGCTCCCCGCCCAGACAGGCCTCCATCAGCATATACAGGTATTTTCTGTCTTTAAAGGTCCGGTACAACCTGAACAGCAACAGTATGGAGTCACTAAGACACCAAAGGACCACCAGCAGCTTCCAGCTCATGTTTGACTAGAACAGTCTGAAAGCTAAGAGCTCTAAACAAAAAAAGAAAAACAAACTAACATAACAAACACACATCTGAAGAACATCTGGATATGGGGGTTGCTTATTGGCATGATTGCCAGCACCATTGCCTCACTGCAAGGAGGTTGCAGGTTCTAATCCCTGCTTCAGCCTTTCTGTGTGGGGACTGCATGTTTTCTCAAACCATTACAGCTTCCTCCCACAGGTTAAAAACATCTATGTTTATGTTAATTAGGGAATACATTTGACTGACGTATGTGTGTCTGTGATGGAGGAGTGGCGACCTGTCCAGGGTCAGTAAAAGTAGGCGACCCAGAGCGAGTGAAAACTGGACTCTGTGCTGCCCCCTGCTAGTTGACTACGATACATAAATTATGAAGTAATAAGTGACGAAACGATTGAGCTTTCTGACCTGACGATGAAGTCTGAGTGCGCCTCAGTCATGATGTGTTTCTCAGAGCGAATGTGCTCCTGCTGCCGCGTGTCCACAATGTAACGCTTCTTCAGGATCTTCATGGCAAACGTTTTGGCCTCTTCGCTCTTCAGCTGCACCTGAACAAAGAAAAATGACCTCATCATCCCTCTGCGCCTCTGCTGGCCTCTTCATAGAGTCACAGAGGAGACTCTAAACATCTGAACAATGAAGTTGGTTGTTTACATTTCCATAGAAACATAGCTCTGTCTGCATCAAGACCCCACAGCTGAAGCACTGGTGGATATCAGCTGAAGGCCATCTGAGACAGACTACCTCCTGATGGTTTAGGAAAATGTGTTTCTTGTTTTAGAAAATATGAGTTTAACAAAATTCTGGCACAGAAGTTTTCAAATGTTCAGAGGGAAGCAGCCTTGTTCTGTCAGGGTGTTTTTAGAACATGACACAATCTTCTATTCGTAGATGTCATGTTATCTGAGCTATGACATGGTGAGCTCCACACCCTCTCACGACTCTGCAGGGCAGATGGAAAAACTTCAGTTTAAAAACAAAAGCAAATCAAACATTTAGGAAATGTCTTTCATCTGAGAAGATATGTCCCAAATGAACATAAAAATGGTTCATTCATTTTTATCAAAACCATATTGTGTGTGAGTTAACTAGACCATCAAACAAAAGGTCCAAGACCACATGGGCCCTTGCTAGAATCCAAGCCAGTCATTTTACTAAAGGCCTAAAATCAGACGTTTGACGTTTATTAAATAGCCTGACTTTGAGATGTGTAAAAAAAACTGAATCTAAATACATTTAAACTGTTTTCATGATGATTTAAAGAGGTAATTAAAAATAAAGGAACTAGATATGATGGAAACTCTGAGTGAGTCACCAGCATTCTGTTCAAGTCAGACAGGCAGTCTGGAGGTCAAAGGTCAGTTGTTTCCACAGATCAGAGTTACTCTGACCGAAGGTCTAAAATTACCTCCAGAGGAGAGACGGGAGACCCTGAATGGGGAATCCTTCCTATTTTTGGGCAAACCTTCTGCAGGGCTTCCCCCTTACCCGGCAGTTACCTGGAGCCCCGCCTCCTGCGGCAATGAAACCCAAATCCTCCTGCAGTGCACCACCCACTGCACCCCTCCATCCTTTCCAAACATCTCACTTCATACATTTACTGAATTAAAAAGTGTGGGAACTCAAATAATCTGAGATGAACCAAAAATCATTAAACACCTGAAAATGTTGAATAAAATTCAGAGATATAAAAAAGCTTTAGGGCTTCTCTCTCTCTCTCTCTCTCTCTCTCTCTCTCTCTCTCTCTCTCTCACACACACACACACACACACACACACACACACACACACACACACACACACACACACACACACACACACACACACACACACACACACACACACACTCACACACACACACACACACACACACACACACACACACACTGAGCTGATTCAGAAACAAATCTAAGACTGATCTGAAGTAGAAGTAACATTAAGTAGACCTGTTTCTGTCATGTTTAGCTTTTATCCAGTGACTATGAATGAGTGCTGCTCGGGACAGTGATCTGATTTTACCAGCTCAACGCGTCCAAAGCCTCCAACTCCCAAGGTGTCAATGATGTTGAAGTCATTCAGCTTCAGACTGGAGAAGAAGGCGTTTTCTGCCTCGTACCTTTCAGAAGAACACAGGAAATGATATTTGGAAAATTTCTTGATACTCAGAAGTCAAACCTGAGATGGGGTGTCCGAGTAGATAAAACCCTACATGAGATCCTACCTGCAGCATTTCACCACATGGAAGAAAGGGAATTTCTTGGAGGTTTGGATGGAGAAGGAGGTGATGGGGAGGGAATAAGAGGATGGAGAAGGCAGGCTAGTGAGGCGTTCTCTCTGTCGCCTCGCAGGAATGGGAAGTAACTCTCTCATCTTTAAACTCAATTCAGATCAGAAAAATTTTTTGTGACAGAAAGGCAGAATCAGCCTTTCAACTCCAAACAAACAGAGACAAAACTCTCAGGAATGTGACTTTGAAATTCAGATGAATTCTGCAGTTTGTTGTTCTACAGTCCAGACTGTCAAACTGGAACGTTTCTCAGTAACACAAAATTCTCAAACACAGCATCAAACTCCTCTTTGATCTTCAAGAAAATGTTCTGCAAAGAGTTCGTAGGAGAGCGGTCTTAAAGGAGGAGCTCCACATCCAGTTTACATGATGGAGGTAGAACGTAGGGCAGACAAGGTCCCACAGAGTTCTGGTGTGGAGATGTCGGCGGTACGGTGAGGTTTCCAGATCCTCCAGGTGTTTGTGCATTAAGCTAACAAATGAGTCTGGTCCAGAAATTAACCAAAAGCTGTCAGAATCCAGAACTGAGAGAGTTATGCATCACCTCAAGGAAAATCAACTTCCAGTTTTCTGTAAATTAAATTCTACGCTGAAACGCTGTGAACGTCTGGGCTTGGAAAGTCCAACTGAGCACCCTCAGCCGATAACGTAGACTGAGGAAAGCCTCTGAGAGGTTCGGCCTTTCTGCCAAAATAAGCCCTCAGTCTGTCCTGGGGAGTAACGACACCTGAGAGGACAACCCGAATGGTTGGACCCTGCTGCTGGGATATTTTTAGAAGATGGAAACATTGCTCAGAGGTTCACCCACTAAAGGAAGCTCAGTAATTAAAGAGGCTAGCTGATGTTCAGGAGGCCGAAGGACGGACTGTACTGACCTCAAAACCAAAGGATCTGGAGTTTTCAGAGATAGTCACAGTTTCTCCAAGAGTCCTCCATTTGTCTTGATCTGTCTGTTAACTGGGTTCTGTTTGGTCCCTCCTTCAGAGTGAGTCTACTTCTGTCATAAAGAAGATTTATGGGCAGATGTTTTCCACCTGACAGGCCAATAATCTTCAGAACTACAACTGGAACAAGGTCAACAGGTCACAGACTGTGGTCATATATTCCAACAGCCACCATGTCTTCTCAGAATATGCCTCTAATGGCCACCCACAGTCACCCAAACACATTCTGTAACAATGGCTGCCATGTTTCCCGTGCACGGCAAGGTCATTAACAAGTTTCAGGCTAATTTAACATGAACACATGGAAAAGTGACAAAAAATTTCAGACTCATATGGCCTAATAGCAGGTCAAAGGGTAAAGGTTATGCATGAAAGGGCAAGTAGAAAAATCTGGCTTGTTTGGAAGGACTGCTTTCTAAGAACACAGCAGCATAGGTTAAGTTTGTAAAGTTTCATCAGACACAACCACAAGACTCCGACCATATTGTCCCATGTTTACCCATAATGCTCAGCAGCACATTTACAGGAAAGAGCTGATAGCTGTCAGCACTGTAGTAGAGAGAGGATGACCCGGACGAATGCATTGGAAAAAATATGTCAGGATTTAACAAGCCGTGTGTTCCCAGTAAGGGCTGGACTCCACCATCTGCAATGATGTAGATGCTGAGCGTCTGCATCACATTGTGGCTTTGAGAGAGCTAAGCCCAAAAGAAAGGTGCTCAGTTTTCTGACCCAAAGGTAAAAACAAGATCACACAAATGGCTGAAAGGCCTATTGTAAGTTTCCTCTCAAGGTGAGGCTTGCAGATGGAGAGCTCAGACATCCTACAAGTGGAGCTGAAGTTCCTCCATCATGGGAGGAGGAAGCTGAGGTACTGGTCTGGTGAATCTAGTCAGGATGCCTCCTGCATGTCTCTCAAAGTGTTTCAAGTGAAACTCTAAAAAATGGGACATCAAGCAAAAGTTTTCAGTAATTCAGCTTAAAAGGTGAAACTGATACATGAGACAGACTCATTACAAGGGAATCCTGATATTTCAAGCCTTTATTTGTTATAATTGTGATGATTATGGCTTACAGCCGATGAAAACCCCACATTCAAAATCTCAGACTTTTAGAATATTGTGAAAATGTTAAATATTCTAGCCTCAAATGCTCACACTCTAATTAGCTGATGAATCCATAACACCTGTAAAGGGTTCCTGCCTTTAGATGATCTTTCAGTCTAAATTGAATTACATAAGTGGAGTTTTGCACCATATTCTATTTTTTGAGTTTCACCTGCATGTATTTTACAGGGGAGAAAAGATAAATTCCCTTTGGTTTCTATGTATTTAATATTTAATGAAAAAAAAGAAATGCAACTAGATGTTATTTGTTGCTACTTTATGTTTTACTTCAGTTACTAAATGTTAAAACTAAATTAGGCATCAAACTGCTGCTGTAGAAGTCTGCTCTCATTTTGCCACCCACAGATCAGAAGCCTAGTCAGTGTGTGTAGGTCTCCAAGCAGGACCAGGCTACTTCCTGGAAATGGTGGATTCGGGTTTCTGCAGAAACAGAAGCTGTCTCAGGATGAGCCAACAAATAAACTGTCTAAAATTAGTTTGAGAAAGAGATGAACAGCTCCTGTTCATGAAGGGTGCAACAGGACAAAGCAATAAAGAGAAGTAAACAATGTCCTAATCCAATTCTGAACATATCTTCTCTGACCTGAGTCTTTAAAGTTATGCTTTGTTTCCTCCTTGCTGGTTGAACTAAGTAAGCATTTATGTTCAGTTTTACATTTAATTGAACTGTTTTTGTTACAATAATAATTTTTTAATAGTCTGTTTAACTTTTGTTTGTTTTTATTTGACATGATTTACAACTTTTTCAACTGTGAGATCTTATTTTTGGAGAGGTTGTTGTTTGTTTGTATATTTTTTTTTGCATTCTTTAAAAAAACTGCCGACATGTTTAAAGCACCTACTTTCCTTTTTCATGAACGGTTCATATTCTATATAAAATTTTAAGTCCCTATTATGAATAGGTTAGATTGAGAGGGCTATAAAACTTAAAGTTCAGTTCATAAATAACATTACTGTAACATTACAAGAAGAGTAAACAAGCTCTCACATTACATGAACTGTTTTCATTCGAATGTTACCATAGCAACAGCCTTGACAGACAGCAGGACACCTGTGCTGCATTAAATCCGTACCATAAGAGGAAACATCCTTCGGTGTGTCACATGACCCACTGTCAGCTCATCCTCAGCAGCTCATGTTTGTTTCCGGCATGTTTACAAAATTCAGAGGAGCCAGTTGAGGTGGCTCAGGCATCTGGTTAGGATGTCTCCCAAACACCTCCCTGGTGAGGTTTTCTGGGCACGTCCAAGCAGGAGGAGACCTAAAGGAAGGCCCAGGACACGATAGAGGTACTATGTCTCTCAGCTGGCCAGGGAACGCCTCAGGATTGTCCCAGATGAGCTGGTGACAGCAGAGAGGGAAGTCTGGGCCGCCCTGCTGAGGCTATTGCTCCCATGACCTGACCAGATAAGCGGATGAAGATGGGTGGATGAACGGAGGATCAAACAATCGATCAACACCGATCACATTATTTCAGAATCAGTCGTGATCAGTTTTCTGCTAAATAACTGACGATCAAATTCATTGATAACTTTCTGTAAAACATCACAACAAAAAATAAAGGAAATAATCAAAATAACGATCAAGTAAATTACTGAAAATCTAGTTTAGCAGATTTTTAACCAGCTGACCATTTACTGGTCATAAGTTGATGATTTGCTGATCCTTGACTAATTAAAACTTCATTATTTACAAATTAGATTATCATAAAATAATTATTAACAGGTTATAGGAAAACAATTACCTAACAACCTTCTGATCATTAGCTGATCCTAAGCTGTCAGGTGGAGATTTCTTCCATTAGCTGACGATGAGGCTGACTAATGGAGGTGTGTGTATGTCTTACACCAACTTTTCTCTGAGGCAGAACTGCAGAAGTCAGCTGATCTGAACTCAACATTTCATCCAGTCACTGCAGTAAACACCTCCTCACATGTGAACACGAAATGGTAGAGGAACCACTACGAGACCCCAATGGAATCCCCCCACCCACCCCCGGTTTCAGGTGTGGTTTTACTTCTGGTCCTAAAGTATCAGTTCCTCCTCACACAAGCAGAAGATCCTCCTCTCTTGTTTTTGGTTGAACTCAAACAGACTAGTAACTATGCGGGTTAGGGTTAGGGGTTTACCTACCTGGCCTTGGCTTCAGCATCCTCGTAGACTTTACTTGAAACATCGTCCAGTCCACCAATCATATGCTTGAACGAGCTGAGGACATAAAGCCAACATGTCAAACCTATTCATCCTTAACCTAACAGAGTTACTTGTAACAGAGGATCAACAGAAACTATGCTGTATTCACTAAAACCAGATCAACGAACAAAATTCCCAGTAGAACCAGTCAAGAAGTCCAAACTCAGCAGGTTTGTTCTAGTTGATCTCGATCACAGTGAGGATCCAGGTTGTGTGTAGTTCGTTCTGACAGCAGCAGAGGGCAGCGTCACATTTAACATACCTCCAGCTGATTTTTGTTTTTCCTCAGACAGTCTAAGGATCTGCTGTTCTACAGTACATCACACAGAACCAGACCCGATCAGGTCAAGTGCGTACTCAGACTCTTACTCTCTGTCAATGACGAGGCAGGTGACCGTGTCAGCAGCAACAACGTTGGCTGTTCTCAAATCCTCCCTGAGGAAACAGAACTAGAAATGTACCAAATTACAACAAACTTCAGAGCATCAGAACCACTGGTCTGGTTTGAGTCTGGACTCAGGGTCCAACTCTTCATTTATCCTGTTACTCGTGGACGAGAGATGTTTGGAGCTCCACTGCTTTAAAGTTTACTTTCAGGAGGAACAGCAATAGTTACAGAAAGAACCTTACAGGTTGCTTGGTCAGGTCAAAGGTCACTCTGTGGTAACATCTTACCCCTGCAACGCTCGCTCTCCGAACCAGTCTCCTCTGCCAAGCTCCCGCAGGTGTATCAGCTCCTGACTGGCCAAATCCCCCTTGGTTACATTTACCTGGTGGAGGCAGGGTTGACCGGTGACCAGGATGAGACAGCCGATCAGAAGTGATGAGGTCACTAAGGTAGAGGACGCTGGACTTACCTTCCCCTTGCTAATGATGAAGAAAGTGTCTCCTCGAGCTCCCTGTCGGACAATGTACTCACCGTCCTCATAGTGAGTCTGAAGACAGAGCAGTGTCTGATTGGACAATTCTTAGAGGGAAACAGGACAGGTGATGATGAAGACTAACCTCTTCCATGACATCAGCCAGTTTACTGAGAGTTTCCTCTGAAAGACCCTGGAATGTAGGAACACTGCACAAACACAGAAACAGGTTTAGAGACTTGGTTTCATTTTCAAAAGTAATCTGAAGTCTTCTGGGTTAGTCTAGAGTCTGTTTGTGACTAGGGGTCACCTTTTTAGAAAATCCATGTACTCGGCATGTTTGATGAGTCCAGTTCTCATCATGATGGTCTGGAAACACTGTCGGTCGATGGCCCAAAGCTTCACATGGGTCAGGGCTGAAACAGAACCAGAACCATCAGCTTAACCTCTGTCTGTCTGATTTAGTTACCAGCTTTCATATGTCTTACAGACGTGTTCTAGTGGAGCTGCATCATGACGTCTGTGTGAACGTTTTAGTTTCTTAATGAGTCTGAACATGACACTTTAAAGAGCAAGTCACCCCCAAATCAACAATTTTTTTCTGATAAACTATATAAATGCACGTCTAATCGTGCTGCAGACACATGTAGTCAATAGTTTTGCACTTTAGTGCATTTTAGTTAAAATTTAAATTTTCTGCCTGAAACTGTCAGTGTTGTGCCGTTGTCAGGTAAAAACTCTTCATTGCATTTGAATTTAAATCTGCCACCGCTATTGGCTAAGAGGTATGCTATGATGTAAACTGGTACATTATGATGTCACAATGCCATTAGTGTGTGTATTTGTTAGTGGCTCCACCCTCTCGGTCTGCTAGGCAGCAGCATTTGTTGCATTTTTCAAACATGAAGTGGGAGTGAAGTACGCTTCTTGTAAGGGGTGACTAGCTCTTTAAGATCAGATTAGTGTGTGTGTGTGTGTGTGTGTGTGTGTGTGTGTGTGTGTGTGTGTGTGTGCAGAGAGAGAGAGAGAAGATACGACATGCACACATTGTCATGGCAACTGGGCTCATTGTGTATGATTCGTTACCCCACAGGTAGATTCAGGAGATTCCTGTTTAGGAATTCTGGTAAAACCATTTAAAATAATCAGGATTTTAAAATTTCCATCTAACTTTCATGTTCACACTTTAGACTTTTTTTCTCCACACAGATTGAACACAAACAGGTGAAACAAAAGAAAAAAGAAACCTATCAGATAAACTTTGATTAATCTAAAACAAAAAAACAAAGATTTTCAATCTATAGAATATACAGCAGCAAGGCAGAAATAATGATCCAATGTGTATTTTAACACACTGTGGTATAAATTACGAGTAATTTTTTTTAAGATACACAAGAGAGGTGCATCAGGAAGAGAAGCAGGCATTGAGCGTACTTCAGGAACCTGTTTCACAGCAAAGACTTCAACATCTGAGGTTGAAATATAGTTATATGAGATTAAAAGCACCCCTCTGCATAATCACGTAGGTCATACAGTGATGCATCTTTAGATTAGATGTTTTTTGCTGTTATTGAATCTACATTTTCATTCAAACTGCATTAGCCAGCTGGTTGACCTGAGGATCTACAGCCTGAACACAGAGAAGAAACGTGAATATTCAGATTCTGAAAGAGTCAGAATCACCCTCCGGACAATGTGAACAAAAGGATCAGGCTCAGCTTCCACAATGGAGCAGGTTCGATTCCCCAAAAAGACGGGTCAGGAGGAAGATAAATGACTGTAACTGACACACAGCAGGTCTTCAACCTCCAGGGAATGAAGAATTTAAGATGAGCCCAAAATCCTTTAAATCCCAAGCTTCGATCTCTGAGGGGAACACAGAACCTGAGTGGCAATGATGAACTGGAGGATGGAAAGATAAAATGTAAACAAATTAGCAGAAATGTGAGATCATAATTAAATAGACAATACATTAAACAATAAAAAAGTTTGAACACATTAAATATTTTATGTAAATCAAGGACAGATGGCAAGAGCTAATCAAAGAAGACAGAGAGATAACTATTGGACGAAAAAAGCAACGGGAGAACCAACAAACTGACAAACAGGTGAACAGAAAGAATTAAAAGCTACAGTCAAAGATAAGGATGAAGTGGAGAAAAATAAGAAGCTTCTGCTTGATGGACGCCCAACCTGCAGACAAAACTCAGGGCTGAAAATAACTCCAGCAAGACAAAAAAAAGTCCTCTCAGGTACACAAAGGTTTTCTAAAAGTCTTTACATCCCATAATCCTCACCAGTTCCTCGGACAGACCTAGTCACTATGGTAACAAGGCATTCACCTGGAGCTGCAAGCAGTTACCATGGAGATGCAGGCTTGTAGAAACTTTCTCCACAAAATGTTTGTGTGTGTTACACAAAACTACACAAATCCATTAAACCCTAAAATTATTTTTTCATTTTGAGAATTTCAGAAAAAAATTCCTGAATATTTTGGGAAATGAGTTTGTTTTACTGACAGCAACAGTTCATATTGTGAGAAGGCAGAGCTTTCAACCACCACTCAGTAGGCAGCTTCCTAAGTCAAGTCTTTTGTGTTTGTAATAAAAATGCTGCAGTGCAATGAAAAGGTTTCTGAGAACACCAAAACTACAGAATCCACATCCACATGAATCAAAATAAAACCATGTGTCTTCAAAGTCGGATGTGACAGTGTGAGCGTCCTGTCACAATGTCCCGATTGATCATGCGCCCTGGCTACTTGGCCAAGGGGATGTCCCCTTGGCTGACTGGTTAGAGCGTATGACTCTCACCCGGGTGTCAGGGGATCGAATCCCGTCCGGGCCCTCTTTTCTCCACCTTGCCACATGAGACTCAAACTGGTACTCATCGGCTGAAATTGATTTCTGTGACAGAACTTTCTGGTTTTGACTCCAGATTTGTTGAGCTAGACTCAGTAACTTGGGACGTGCTGGAGACCTGTAACGTCTGGTCATCAACATCAATAAAAACAAGCTGGGAGACTTTGGGGTGTTTGTGTTCAAAGCTGCTAGAGGTCTGGTTCTGAGCTAGCACTAGTTCTCGCTGTTATTTCTCTCAGCCTAGCTGGACTGGTCAGGAGCCATAACCATACCAGTTCTCAGCTGGAAACAACTCAGAACAAACTGAGGCAGAATTGGAACCAATTTGGTGATTTTAATATTTCATCTGAAACTTGGTCAACCAGATTAGGACTCTGAACTTGTTCCCATCACTTCCTGTAAAACCTGTGACATGGTTTGACACCAGTGCTACAGTTTGTGTGTGTGCAGCAAACACAGATCATTTTTGTGTTTTTTTAAGTTTTATGACCAAGAATGGGGTGCCATGGAGATGCCAAGTGTGTGTGTAACGATGGAAATGACAGGAAACATGATGGTTTGTGTTCATTGTGGTTTAGATGAGCTTAACTACAAACAGGAGGTTACAATTGGTCATTAGAGACTGTAAAGATGAATGTAAAGGTGAACTATTTCTTTATGTTTAACAACAGCAAAGGTACATGGGCTTTTATTTTGACAGTGTCATAGCAACCGTAGCCAAGTAGGGAGGTGCAACGCAGAAGAAGCAAACGTAAATCTATTAGAAGTAAAGACGGAGCAAAGGGTAGGCTATTAACGGTTCACAGAGAAGAAGACAAAGAAAGTTTGAAGAATACTTCTGTCTAGCTTCAGTTGATAAGGGGAACAAGGTTTGTAACTATAATTCAGAATGTTGTTATGAAAACGGAATGTGTATGGGTACCTATATGATTGTATTAGTTGTGAAAAAGGCTACCAATGTAATCATTTATGCATTATGGTTCATTTTATGATTTATTTATTTTTTTGTTTATGCCTAGCTCATACGTTGGTTGATGATACGGACGGCTAAATAAATCATCATTCACCATCAGTTCCGGCCTTCTCAATATTGACTGAATGCTACAGAGACTAAATTAACTCCTTTAACATCCAACTTTGCATTTGTGTTGCTAAATAAATGGAAGTAATTATTTAAATGCAGATTAAAAGGTGGTTAGAGGGAAATCCCTGCAGATTAACTGTGTGTTCATGTGAAAACAGGTGGAAAGTTTCCGTAAATGGAAACAAATCCTCTCAAACCCAACGTTATTGCTAAGAGACACACAGGTGCCAGAACTCATCGGCCGGACCGGATGGTGTTGCCTGGCAACAGCTGCTAAGTGAGCATTCTACAAGGAAGACCTGACAGAAAGTTGGACATTCACACAAGCACACGGAGCGCTGTCAGAGTTCTGTTGAGCTTGCTTCCTCCAGCGGAACTCAGATTAGCTCCCACTGGATGTCCAACATTTCTTCTCTACATTCATGGAGACAAGAGCAGCTTCTGGGTGATTTTGAGAACGTTTTATTGGAATCAGAGTAACAGAAAATACGTTAAGTTTGTTATTTCCACGTGATCGGGAGGTAAAATCCACCTGGCTCCCAAAACTCAGGAACTAAACCATTCTTTATCTGACTGGACTGGCTGATCTGTAACTGAGTTATCCCTTCCACCAGTTAGGATACACATTTTGAGCTGGATAGAACCTGTCTGGTGTGAAGTGGTACCAGACAGTCCTGCGGACAGAACTTTGACCAGATCAGCTTAGTCAAGCAGGAGCATTAGGAACACTTGCCAATAACATGGTTTTCATTCATTAATATGAATCAAACTGGTCAGAGAATGACTTTTCAACTGGACTGCGACTGTCTAGACCAGCTAGGTGTTTCTAGAGTCTGTGTGAAGGTCCTGATCCAGACCTGACCAGGGACACACCTCGTTTTCAGCTGACAGCTCTGCTTTGATCTTTTCTCTGGTGAAGTGATGTATGTGTGTGAGTGTGTAACTCACTTCTGACAGTGGCCGTCCTGGTGCAGTTATAGAGGATGGCCAGCTCTCCAAACACCTTTCCTGGTCCCATGGTGCACAGCTTCATCTCCTCTTTGGTCACCTCCACCTTCCCCTCTGCATGCGTCACAAATAACACAAAACTTCAGCTCTAAAGTTAGAGACTAATAGAATCTAGGTGCATCAAGGGAAATTTAGGCTCTGGTTGGCTAGCAGCCAGACAGACGCTCCCCTATGAAGAGCTGCATCAAAGTATCCGAGTTTTAAAAATATGTAAAACAAGTCAGCTAGAGCGAAACCACACAAAAGCAGACAATGATAACAAAAAGAGCTAGAATGTGGTGCCAAATAGAAATGACTTTTCTAAATTATATTTATTAGTTCAGAAACAGTGTGTGTGTGTGTGTGTGTGTGTGTGTGTGTGTGTGTGTGTGTGTGTGTGTGTGTGTGTGTGTGTGTGTGTGTGTGTTTTAATAGAAACACCAAACATTTTTTCTCATACTTTCCAGCAATTTTTTAAACCTCAGAGGAAATAAAAGTGTTAGATGTCAAGGACACAGCGACACACAACAGCTTGTGCTTCCTGGACCATTAACCTCCACATTACTGAGCCTTCAACCTTAAGTTGATGTTTGGTGCCAATGTTTTAGTTTTTGTTCTCTATTTCCACATGAAGCTTTCGGTTCTTGTTGGCTGATCTGGAAAAATGTGAATGGAGTCAAACCAAATTCTGATGAATAAGAGAAGAGTTTATCAGAGTGGATCAGATTTACCTAAACCTCTAAACATGAGCCAATAACAACAGTTGAAACACTTGAACATTTGATCAGATTTGTGTTTTTCTTTGGAACCAGAAGCAAACTGTGTCCTTAAAGATGCATTATGTGGAAATTAAGTAAAAATGACATCCTGTGGCAAAATGTGGTTACTGCAACCACAATTTAAACAATTCTGGAGCTTTTTGCTGGCTGTCGTCAAATTACAATTGTCGGCACTGCAGTATCAGCTCACAGGATACACGGCACCCCCACACTCACTGATGGTAAACAGTAGTTACGTTCCTCCTTCCTTTGTTTTGAAAGGAGAAAAACTGACAATCCCTGCAGCCAGCTGGATATGAAATATGTTTCAGTAACCTTCCTTCCTTCCTTTTGGGATTTTCTCACTGTAAAATTCTCACTATATTCTTACATAATCTTCAGGTTGGTGTTTTTAACCTGTTAGAAACGCTGATGGGTTTCTATAGTCCTATACTCTCCAGCTGCTGATGGATAGATGGCTGGGTGGCTGACTGGCTGGCTGGCTGGCTGGCTGGCTGGATGGATGGATGAACGGATGGACGACAGATGGATGGACGGATGGACGGAGAGATGATATGACCCATCAGATTCTGACAAACCATCAGGTTTGCAGTGACCTGAGGCCTCATTTATCAAGCTTGCTTACACACAAAACGGGATCGGAAAACTGTGTAAGCAACTTTCCATGCAAACTTTGGGATTTATGAAAGAAAACTTAGTGGAAAAATGTGCGCAACTTTAAGTTGACTAAGGACCTGATTACGAACATTTTGGACATGGAGAGCACCTGCAGTGCTGCTGCTGAGAAGGATAAAATTATGAAATCCTGCAGCATTATCACTTGTACTGCTTCGTTTTCACACAGAACAAGACCTCCCACAGGCACACACGCGCACGCACACACACATGCGTGCACACTCACACACACGCGCACGCACACACACACAGCCTGAAGTGCAGAATACGGAATTCAGAATATCAGCAGGGGGACAGATTGAGACAGAATGTCATGTGTCTGTGACAGTGTGTGTTTCCTGTCACTGTGACCCGATTGATCATGCGCCCTGGCTACTTGTACAGGGAAGATCTCTGTTTGGCTGACTGGTTAGTGTGTGACTTTCACCCGGGAGTCTGGGGAATGAATCCTGGCTGGGTCTTTTTTTATATCCGCCACAGATCTCTCTGAAGAACTCAGCATTGACGGCTTCAGCAGCGCTGTGCCACTCCGTGGATTTTCTCTTATTTTTTTTGCAAAATTACTTCCTTTCATTTCTCCACCTCACCCACAAGTACCTGAATTTCTGCTTGTGAAATAGTGCTTTCGTCATTAATGTTCACACACTGGTGGGGATGAGCTACGATGTAGCCACAGCTGCCCTGGGGCGCACTGACAGAGGCGAGGCTGCCGAGCACTGGCGCCACCAGTCCCTCCGACCACCACCAGCAGGCAACGTGGGTTAAGTGTCTTGCCCAAGGACACAACGACAGCGACAGACTGAGGGGGGCTCGAACCTGCAACCTTCCGATTACGGGGCGAGCACTTAACTCCTGTGCCACCGTCGCACCGTCGTGTTGTTCTTGTATCCTGCCATTAAATCCACTTTTATTTTATCCGTGCCTGCATTCCTGCCTCCTGATCTGCTCCACCACACATGGTCCGCCGTCATCCACTCCTCAACATGACAGTGGGTTTAGAGGTGGCGAGCCCATGAAGAGATGGAGAGACAAATTTGTCTGTGCTAAGTCTCTTATATACAACAAACACAATATAAACACACTATCTTGGGCTGGATACATGACAGGGTATCACAGAACAACGCAGCGCCCTCTGGTGTCCTGGCGGGGAACTGCTTTGCAACACTCCTCAGGAGACGGAGAAGTATGAGGGCAAAATGTCTCCGTGCGTGCGTCTCCCTTTTGGAGCTGATGGAGAAGCATGACTCGGGCTCAAGGCACTGCACTCCACACCAAATGTGTTAGGGGGAGGGCAGGCAAAGATGTGTAGTAGCACAAGAAGTCCGAGGGGAGAAGTCCAAGACCCCATCTGACATACAGCCGTACACAGACAGTCACACACTCCCTCCCTCGTGTTCACACATACACATACAACCAAAAACTTACAAAAATGAACGCTAGACACCCGCTCATGCTCCCCATACAAACCCTATTCACTCTGGTCCCGGTACTGCTGCACAAAGGGTACAACCATCACCGGTTCCCAGAGTTCGCCCCTTTCTGCTGGGGGTGATGATGAGCAGGCACCCCCACCCAACGCTGAGCAAAGCATCCCACCACCCCAGACCCCAACATGAAAGTGACATTTTTTAAATTCTCTTTTAATGAATTCATATTTTGCACGTGTTTGAAGAGGGTCAGTTTTCGCCATTATGCCTGCACTTTAACTGGGTACTACTACTTCCATGGGTGCATGGTTATGATGTAAAACGGGGGTGCAAAACCAGGAAATCTAATGAAGTATGACCATACCATTATGATGTTATAAACAGTTTCAAATTGACAGTGTGTTAGTGGCCTAGCTCATTTCCATGTGTGCGATACTAAAGCCGTGCTTTTGGAATAACCTTTTTCTTATGAATCTCATGATTTTACATTCATAACAAAATGTACATGTTTCAAAAAATCTTCACGTTTAGGCCAGATTTGTTTTGACTCGCTCCAAAATATCTTCAGTGGGACAGCAGTAGCTGAGGAGGTTGAGCAGGTTGTAATCTGAAGATTGCAGGTTAGATCCCGGCTCCGACCAGAGAATTCTGCTGTTGTGTCCTTGGGCAAGACACTTAACCCACCTTGCCTGCTGGTGGTGGTTGGAGGGACCGGTGGCACCAGTACTCAGCAGCCCTCGGCTATGTCAGTGCAATCCAGGGCAGCTGTGGCTACATTGAATGGGTGGATGACTGGTTGTGTTGTGAAGTGCCTTGGAGGGTTGTAGAACCCTAAGAAGGTGCTATATACATACAGGCTACCATTTACCATTCACTGCAAACATAAAAATATAAAAATCATCTGCACCAATATGTTTATTTTTACTACTGCACTCTGTTAGTTCTAATGAAAGCAACTATTAACTGTCATCTCAAAAAATAAAAATAAAAGGTATTTTCTAGGATTTATAACTTTCTGATACATTTTAGATTTTTCTGACATACTTTGTCTCTTCCCTTCTCTTTCATCCTTCTTCTTTTATTGATCTTTTCAGTATGAGTTGACTGATTTCATTACCTCTCTTCACCCACCCACCCATAAGCTCCTCCCTCAATTTCATAAACTCTTTTATTTCATCAGCAACAGTTTCCAGTCCTTATGTTTAAATATTAAATGTTAAATATGATTTTCCAGCATGTTGCTAAGGCAACCGCATCCACAGAAATCTCTCTTTCTGTGTGTGTGTGTGTTTGTTCCTACCTAATGAGTCCAAACTGCCCCCCCCCCCCACACACACACACTCATTTTTTTCATAATGTCTGAGGATATCTCACCATCTTCCTCAAACATTCTCAAACCATCTTTCATTTTCTCGCTAAAATTAAATAGCTTGAAAGACGTTTTTTTTCTATTTTTGTCCCAGCATGTGCAGTAAGACTCCACGATGTGAGTCTTCAAGTTGGTTAATGTCCCCACAACATCTCACACACACACAAACACACACAAGCACAATATCTACTCATCTTTCTCATGGTCTAATTTTAGAATTTACTGATTTACTGATTTTAGGAATTACTTCCTCTTCCTGTGACAGAGGTCGATATATTTAGTCACCGTCTGCACCCACCCCTGCAACAAGCCCCACTCCTTCCCAAACTCCCCCACCTCCTACAACAACAACAACACACACACACACACACACACACACACACACACACGCACACACACACACACGCACGCACGCACGCACACACACACACACACACACGCATCTACTCCTGTGAGGACCCACCTCTGATGTAAAGCATTCAGTATATTGACACGAACTCATGTTAGCTCCGTGCATTTAGCACAAAGCAGATGGATGTAACTCACACAGCTGTAACCTTTTCACACTAACACAAACATTTATAAAGAATCAGTTTGCTCCTCTATGATTAAAGTGATGCCACTCAAACTTTTCGATGTTATATTTTTGACTGAAGTTTGGTTAATTTAATTTCTGCAGCCAGTAATTTTAAGGAATGTTTGATCTTCCAAATGTGCCAAAAATATTTGCCCACGTGTTTGTCTAGTTCATATGTCCACTGCACAAGTGAGTTAGCATTTGGGCCACAAAAGGCATTTTACTTCTACATTATGCATAGAAATGAG